GCGAACAGGGTTCATGCAAATACTTTGGTCACAAAATTTTGTTTCCCTTGAACAGATGTCTTTGTGATAAGTGGGGTTCAAGTGAATCAACAAGTGGAATAAGTGAATTAATGAATAAAAGGTGAAAAGGGGAGAGGAGGCTGAAAAAGAAGCAACACTGCATTGCCCTACTCCCCGTGTTATTCTGTGGACCGTTTCATTGGCTAAGAATTCCATATTACAGAACAAATTAACATTTTGGACCATTCAAAAAAGCTTTTGTGTTAACCCTGTGCAAATTAATAACAAACCTAATTATTATTTTAGTTCATTGCATAAAGTTCAAGTTTAAAGGGAAATTTTTATTCACAGAAAAGCAAGTGTTATTAGAATGCAGTGAATTGGACAAAATTCAACATTTTAAATTGTTTATATTTTATATCAGCCTTTGCTTTTCCTTGTACATAATTGTCTTTTCTTCGTACTTATGAATCAATTTATCATCAATGAATAATGGTTGGTGCTGCTCAAGTATTTGCATTCCAAAGTGAGATTGAATTTCTGTACACTGTCGTTTTTTGCTTAATCGAGGAGGCTTGCAGACTTAGTTTAGGTAAAGAAAACTAGAATTCTCCACTGTGAAAAGTTGTTGTAGCTTGCAATATGTGTTATTTTAAAGTTTTTAAGTTCCTTTGCTTCACCATTAATATATATAATATTTACAAATGTAAGTAGAGAGTTATGCTTGTTTTTCTTTTTAATATTGTATCATTAACACTGTTTTATTTAGCCTTGGTTAAAGTTATAGGATATATATATGAGTATTAGAGAAAATTGTTAACTTATTTCACTGTTATTTTTGCTTTTCCCTCCCCTCTGTCTCTTTTTGTTTTTGCAAGGTATAACAAATCACGTATTTTGATGTCTACCTTTGGTATTACATAAACTCTGGCCAATTCATACTCATCTAAAAAAAACTATGTTCTCATTCCGGAATAAGACTTAGTGTTACAGGTTCAGGTTCAGGTTGCATCTGAGGTCAGTGAAGCTAGGCCGTTTTTGTTAAACCAATCCACTCATCATAAATTAAAAACTATTTTCAAAAGTCATTCCATGCAAGTGGGAAGAGCTTTCCATCATACATATGCTTGTGTAAGTATTGGAAGAAACTACACATAAGAATTGTATCATTCATCATGCAATAAAGCAGCATCTGTACTTGTTAAAGAATTTCCTTCATTATCTTGCAAGTTTTATCTTAAAGGGAGATAATGCAATCACAGAGGGCGAGAGTTATCAATCTTTGAATTGCTCTGTTGGGCTTTCCCTGCTGTTAATTGCAAGATCTAAAAAGGGCCTCGTGCAGCTCAGTCTTGCACACATGCTTGATGCAAAAATTATGGGACATTATTTAACATGAGAAATGGAAAGAGCAGGAGAAAAAAAACTTTGAAGACCCATTATTTGGTAGCATACCATAATATTATTATGGCATGAGATAGGTCATGTGACCCCAACCTTTGAAGGGCCACTTTACACTTCTTGCCAGCAAGGTCTTGAGTTTTCAAGATCACACCCAGCAGGATCTTGAATGTTTGTTGAATTTGTTTTAATTTTTCAATCAGTAAGATCTTGAATTTTAACATCTTGCTACCATCTAAACTTATGACGGATAACCGACCTCACTGGTTTTTCCAAACTACTAATCATTTTGCAAATGACACAAAAGTGGTTTGATAACTAATATAATTATTACACAATAATACATAACTATATCACATAACTATTATATATAACCATTGTACATTTTACTTTAATGTGAAACCATTTCCAAATTAATTGCCTGGATAGAACTGAGGTCTCTCTAATATAGGCTCATTTTCATTGTATTCTGAATCTTTCAAATTGCCCCGTAAAATTAAAACGATCCAGACAATTTTATGGAAACCAGGCTTGTGCTCACTGGAAGGAACAACACACAAGTTTTGAATGAAAAATATAAACAGCTGAACAAAGGCTTCTTGTGTTGTTGTAGAATGAATTTACACAAAAATCCAACAGTACTATGTCAAACGTGAAGAATGCATGAATCTGCATATTGGGGACACTGGATAAGTAAACATGGCAGGTAGTATTGAAAGGAGGAAAAATGAAGTTGCAACCCCTACTTCACCTTGACTCCCACTGGCATTAATGACACATTTGGAACCAGAGTTGGTGCCAGAAGTTTAGGGAACCTCAACTCGTGTTGACAAAAGGATACTTAAGCTTTATAAAATCAAAAGAATAAGGTACCTCTTCTTGGGAATCTCATTCCAATTCTCATTTCTGATTTGCCTGAATTTGAAGCTAAAGAAAAACCTTATGGACTAATAAAGTAAAAGGAGACAGTGAGGTTCTCTATCTTGTTCTCCTTGAATCTGATTCAAGCTAATGGCAATCAGAATCTAAATCTAATAAAAATGTTATTTGGGGCGGCAAAATAATAGCCCACAAAAGGGTGAACTGATGTCTAACTTAACGAACAATACACTCTTTTTCTGTTAAAACCGTTTATTTTTTGTTAAATAGTGGTATGTACATTTACGTTTAATTTCTTAATGGACTAGCTTGGGATGAGTTCCACACTTCAGCAGTTACTAAAAGAAATGTACCTAATGTGGCTGAAAGTATCTGTTACATTTTAACACTAGAACTCCCTAATTAGTTCTCAAGATTAGAAACAGGAGCACAAGTGTTTAAAAACGGTTTGTCCCTCTTGTATTTTTTGTTGACATTCTTGATGAAGTCACATCCACCAAGTAAAATATTATAAAGACTTAAAGCAGCTTGGTATATAGTAATCCACTTTCCCATCACTGACAAGCATTTTTTTTCCTCTCAAAGTCTTTCACAACCCATTATTTGTGTGGTCAATGAAATTCAGCATTTTCGATAAAGTGTCACAAAACCAAATGGAAGTAATCGTAACAGCCAATCACACTGTATTAGAACAATCAAACAAACCGATCAACTTTAACCCCCAATATTTACATACAAATTAATTCTCCAGACTGATCACACTACATTTCATCAAAGAATTGGTTCGGAGAATTTTATGGAGATCAAAGCTTTCACATCTGGGGCCAGTCTCTCAAAAAAGTCCCAGCAATTTTTTTGGGCCCGAAGGCAAATTTTACAATCAAAACTGTTTGAATAGTAGAACAGTTCCTAGCTCTAAAACAGGTGGATTTTGCTTTGTTAACTGATAGTTTGTTGTATTATTGAAAAACTTTGATCTTGACTGCAAATGCAGCAAACATAAAACAGCTTTCTGGTCCCCCAAAATTTTTCGGATCTTTCGAGAAACGGGCCCNCACAACCCATTATTTGTGTGGTCAATGAAATTCAGCATTTTGGATAAAGTGTCACAAAACCAAATGGAAGTAATCGTAACAGCCAATCACACTGTATTAGAACAATCAAACAAACCGATCAACTTTAACCTCCAATATTTACATACAAATTAATTCTCCAGACTGATCACACTACATTTCATCAAAGAATAATAATTGGTTCGGAGAATTTTATGGAGATCAAAGCTTTCACATCTGGGGCCAGTCTCTCAAAAAAGTCCCAGCAATTTTTTTGGGCCCGAAGGCAAATTTTACAATCAAAACTGTTTGAATAGTAGAACAGTTCCTAGCTCTAAAACAGGTGGATTTTGCTTTGTTAACTGATAGTTTGTTGTATTATTGAAAAACTTTGATCTTGACTGCAAATGCAGCAAACATAAAACAGCTTTCTGGTCTCCCAAAATTTTTCGGATCTTTCGAGAAACGGGCCCCAGGAGATCATTTTATTAATTCACACAATATTTTCTCTTGATTATAATTTATATTGATATTGTTTGGAGAAAATACGGTCTTGGGAGTTAAGCAAATAACTGGTGCCAGCACCATATCAATATATTTAACAACTACTCCTTGAGTCCAAATGGGCTCTGAGTTCAATAGCCCATGAAGCCAAAGGCCGAATGGGTTACTGACTCAGAGGCCGTGAGGGCAAGAGGAATAAATGGTTTTAGTAAAATCCAACTAGTTGGTCAAAAATATCGAGAATAAAAAAATTTAAGCTAGTTAAAAGCTAGACTTTAAGCCTTTTTTGCTGCCAAAAAGCCCACGGTTTTCGCTACTAGGGGGCTATAACATATAGCCTAGCAGTAGCTCAACCAATCAGAACACAGCATTGATAATAGACCACTAGTTGGATTTTACTAAATATATGTTGTAGTTAACTTTTTATCTCAGGCAATTTTTATTTGGATCATTATACATTTCTGGGAAACTGCCCACCTACCCCTTCCTTAAGCCAACATTTTGCCCTAAAAGAGATGTAAGTGTTAATAATATAATGTTGGTTTAGTAGGGGAGGGGTATGGGGGCAGTTTCCAAGGAAAGTATAAATGATCCTTTCATTTTTCTTTTGCTTCAATGTCATCAGCATACATTACCATAACCAAATTACCTGAGATAAACAATTATCTACAACATATTTTAGGTAATTCTCAAATTTGATTAAAACAGCTCAACTTAAAAACTCAACTTTTTTGACACCTGCGAAGTAGGATGCCATGGCTGTTATAACAGTTGAGCCAACAGTAAATTGTTCTTTGGTCCAAAAAGGGCATGCAAACCTAGTAAAATGTTATCCTTAGTGTTATTTGGACCCACAGTAATAGGTCACAGCAGTGGTTTTCCCTTCCAATTATGACATGTCTTTTTTGTTTTTGTTTTTTTAAATTCTGTCCAAGTCAATCTTGGCAAATCTAATAATAACAATAATTATTATAAAAATATTTGCTGATAACTGCAATAACAGTTATTTTTAGGACTTCAAATTTCTTTGCCAACTATTATCAGCTTTGGGAAAACCTTGCTAGGTACCCATATTTTGTTAAAAAAAATTGTGCCATTTTCAACAGAGTAGAAGGCTGTTGATACAAAATTGATATGGTATGAGGGAAAACAAGTGGCTTGTTCTTAAAATCCCCAATCATCTTCTCCAGTGAAAATGAGAAAATAGGCCAGAATAGTTACAAAGATGAAGACATTTCCAGAAAGGACCAATGCTGTTGCTCCCCACTTTATCTGAAAAGGAGGACCAAGATGTTTGTTAGAAACCATCCATTCTTTAAGTTGATCCATGGCTGTAACATAACCATAATCAGTCAGAAAGACTGGGTAAATCCTTTACTTTTCTCAGAGATAAAAGAGCAAGCAAAAGAAGTGAGTGCAAGTAAGCATGAGGCAGAGACTTTGCTTGCACTCACATGCTCTGCTCACTGTACTAACTCTTAAAAAAAATAGAAATTTTTTGTTGTCTTGCTGGATATGATTATTGTGATAAGTTAAATAGGTGTTCAGTCAAACAGCGCCTTACAGACACCTGATTAATTAATACTGACACCTCATTTCTACAGACAGTTTGCTTGTCCGTGGAGAAAGAAAGCCCAAGTACATTTTCTCTAAATTAAACCCGCTTAATACGGACACTACATTAATATGGACACTTTCTACCCCCCCTCCCCCCCTCGGTGTCTGCATTAATGGGGTTTAACTGTACTAAATTTTAAGCTGTTATCAATCCAAGAGGAAAACAATTTTGCAGCTAAACTACTGAAATAACAGTTATTATTCCAGAGGTGAATACACTGTAAATGCACTGTAAAAAATTTGTTTTAAACAAGTTTTTCAATAAGGTACTTACAATCTCACAGTGGGCAAGAACTATGGGTAGACCTAGAAGATTAAAGTGCACTTAGTTATTCACAGTTCTAATAATAATATTGATAATATATTACACTAGTTACCTATTTATTTGTAGCCTTTAACATAATCATGATCAAAGGGGCAAACCTACCCCATTTGCATTGAGTACTGTCACTGGTTTGATAAAACACCAGATCAAAGATTCACACAGAAGGCCCTGCCACGGTAAATTCTGACAAGCGACATGGCCCAAAAAGTAGCTACAGCACGTAAAATGAAATCGCGACAAGAGACAACCTCCCTTGGCCAAGTTGCGACAGTGATGGCAAAGCTCACAATAAGCGACAAGCATTTATAAACAACATCATGAGACGTTTTAAAATTCAGACGAGCGACATGGGACCCCCTCCTGGCAGGGCCTCACACAGTAAAACAATAAGGGCTTGCAGGCTTACTGTGAAACTTTCAAAACCTTGAACACCAGAAATATTTATGGAATACTGTTGTTACTGTCTAGTGAAAATAGTAGTTTAGAAGTATTGCAAGTCTCCTGGATCAAAGGGGCATTTTAACAAACTTCAACACATCAAATAAAGGTTGGTAATTAACAGAATCCTTAAATAATTTTTAAAGCCAACAAAGAATACTCACCAAATGCAGAGACCACGTTTCCTGCAGTAAAAAACATTGCTGTTTCCTTGATAACGCTAAGGATGATAATGCATACAAGCAAAATTATGAGTGACAAACAAATTTGCTTGAATTTTAATGAAGTTCTATTGTTCCTCCTGTTTACTTGTGAAGTGGGAGAAATTTATTTATTGTATAAGCAAACAGACTTAGTCAATGACTTAAAGTTTGACGTTTCTACAAACCAACTCTGGGACCTAATTAAACAAACTGTCCACAATAGAGATGTCAGTACTATAGAGGTAGAGATGGTAAGAAGTTTGGCAACTTTACGACCAAATGAAATGTCTGCAATAAAGTGTTTTCTTTTATGAAAAGTCCAAACTGTACTTACTTTGAAGCATTAGAAGAGAAGTCTTCACAGAACCGTTTGGCTATAACAGTGGGTACAGGAGCAAGTACATAAAAGAACACTGAAATAAAACAGTAACTCTCTTTAGGATACATTGTATTATTATTCAGTTGATGGCATACTATACTGGGGCTCAGCTAGCGTCAAATTCCGAAAAGCGACATGCCCTTGAAACAGCGACATAAGACCAGATAATAATAATGGCAACAAACGAGGTAAAGATGGATTCAATACAAGATAGAGGGCATTGCCTACTCCTCAAAATGCGAAACGTCAGGCTAGGGACATACATACAACTTCCCCCCCCCTCTACCCCCACCTATGAGGCCTCTATACTTTACAAAGATTCCTGACTTTAAAGCTTGTTTTCAACCAAACAGTACCATCTACAGTATTTACTCTTTTGTGGAAAGTAACTTTTTTTTAAACATGTTTTAATCTGATATCAAAACCCTACTACAGCTTTGCCAAACATGTTCCTTCTAAACAGAAGATAACCATACAAGACCCACCTGGAAAATGTCTGACAAGTTCCCGGTCAGGGGGAGGGGTTTACCCTGTACCTTTTTGGTTGACGGTTTTCAAACCCTAGCTCACACTTGCTTAACACACCATGCCCAGCTGCAATTCTATGACCCTACTCTAGAATAAAAACTGGGTCTTTTTGCCGGTACCCTCATCACAAAAGAATCAAAGAAACCAAAAATAGAGTTCTCCTGGGGGCTTTATTGTTTGGTTGTATTGTTTCTTCTGTTGTACGTAATCTGTGCCTCGGTTCCTACAAAAAGAACCCCAAATCCAAAAATCTTTCTAAACTGTTGTTATTGATTATCACAGATGCCTGTGCTCTACACCATAGCCCATGCTAAGCTTCTTGACAACCGCAATCTTTGTCATCACATCGTCATCATACGCACAAATCTAAGGTCTCAACATAAGTAAGAAATTAACTTACATACAAACAATGGCCACCACACTCTGCAAAAAGAAAACAAGCAATAAACAGTTGGTACAAAAAGTTTAAAGCTTCAATGGTACGAAAGTTAAAGGTAAACCCCATATATTTAACATACAATAATCATTAATGGAAACGGATACACAGATTGTGGGGGCTGTTAAGAAATTATACACACCCATATTGCTCCAAAGCACAGCCAAGAATAACGAAAAGCACACCGATCGCTCCACTGAATGACAGAGCAATTATCCTATGAGAACAAAAAATTGCGCTTTAAAGGCATCAAAACGACATGCACATTTCAAATGTAAGCATGCAATCATAAATATTTGACAAGATGACTTGAAAGGGTAAACTCTCCATTTCAGACGAAAATTTACACTTACGCTGGTAAGTCATTTTATCTGAAAAGGAGGACCAAGATGTTTGTTAGAAACCATCCATTCTTTAAGTTGATCCATGGCTGTAACATAACCATAATCAGTCAGAAAGACTGGGTAAATCCTTTACTTTTCTCAGAGATAAAAGAGCCAGCAAAAGAAGTGAGTGCAAGTAAGCATGAGGCAGAGACTTTGCTTGCACTCACATGCTCTGCTTACTGTACTAACTCTTAGAAAAATACAGGAATTATTATTGTTGTCTTGCTGGATATATTCTAATAAGTTAAATAGGTGTTACAGTCAACTGCCTGCCTTATACAGACACCCGCTTAATACTGAGACCTCATTACTACCGACAGTTTGCTTTGTCCGTGGAGAAAGAAAGCCCAAGTACATTTTCTCTAAATTAAACCTGCTTAATACGGACACTACATTAATATGGACACTTTCCACCGCCCCCTCGGTGTCCGCATTAATGGGGTTTGTCTTTACTAAATTTTAAGCTGTTATCAATCCAAGAGGAAAACAATTTTGCAGCTAACCTACTGAAATAACAATTATTATTCCAGAGGTGAATACACTGTAAATGCACTGTAAAAAAATTGTTTTAAACAAGTTTTTCAATAAGGTACTTACAATCTTACAGTGTGCAAGAACTATGGGTAGACCTAGAAGATTAAATTGCACTTAGTTATTCACATTTCTAATAATAATATTGATAATATATCACACTAGTTACCTATTTATTTGTAGCCTTTAACATAACCATGATCAAAGGGGCAAACCTACACCATTTGCATTTAGGACTGTCACTGGTTTGATAAAACACCAGATAAAAGATCCACACAGGAGGCCCTGCCAGGGTAAATTCCGACAAGCATCATGGCCCAAAAAGTGGCTACAGTGCGTAAAATGAAATCGCGACAAGAGACAACCTCCCTTGGCCAAACTGCGACAGTGACGGCAAAGCTGACAATAAGCGACAAGCATTTATAAACACCGACATGAGACGTTTTTAAATTCAGACGGGCGACATGGGACCCCCTTCTGGCAGGGCCTCACACAGTAAAACAATAAGGGCTTGCAGGCTTACTGTGAAACTTTCAAAACCTTGAACACCAGAAATATTAAATATTTCCATAAATTTTATGGAATACTGTTGTTACTGTCTGGTGAAAATAGTGGTTTAGAAGTGTTGCAAGTCTCCTGAATCAAAAGGGCATTTTAACAAACTCCAACACGTCAAATAAAGGTTGGTAATTAACAGTATCCTTAAATAATTTTTAAAGCCAACAAAGAATACTCACCAAATGCAGAGACCACGTTTCCTGCAGTAAAAAACATTGCTGTTTCCTTGATAACGCTAAGGATGATAATGCATACAAGCAAAATTATGAGTGACAAACAAATTTGCTTGAATTTTAATGAAGTTCTATTGTTCCTCCTGTTTACTTGTGAAGTGGGAGAAATTTATTTATTGTATAAGCAAACAGACTTAGTCAATGACTTAAAGTTTGACGTTTCTACAAACCAACTCTGGGACCTAATTAAACAAACTGTCCACAATAGAGATGTCAGTACTATAGAGGTAGAGATGGTAAGAAGTTTGGCAACTTTACGACCAAATGAAATGTCTGCAATAAAGTGTTTTCTTTTATGAAAAGTCCAAACTGTACTTACTTTGAAGCATTAGAAGAGAAGTCTTCACAGAACCGTTTGGCTATAACAGTGGGTACAGGAGCAAGTACATAAAAGAACACTGAAATAAAACAGTAACTCTCTTTAGGATACATTGTATTATTATTCAGTTGATGGCATACTATACTGGGGCTCAGCTAGCGTAAAATTCCGAAAAGCGACATGCCCTTGAAACAGCGACATAAGACCAGATAAAAATAATGGCAACAAACGAGGTAAAGATGGATTCAATACAAGATAGAGGGCATTGCCTACTCCTCAAAATGCGAAACGTCAGGCTAGGGACATACAAACCCCCCCCCCCCCCCACCCCCACCTATGAGGCCTCTATACTTTACAAAGAGTCCTGACTTCAAAGCTAGTTTTCAACAGAACAGTACCATCTACAGTATTTACTCTTTTGTGGAAAGTAACTTTTTTTAAACATGTTTTAATCTGATATCCAAACCCTACTACAGCTTTGCCAAACATGTTCCTTCTAAACAGAAGATAACCATACAAGACCCACCTGGAAAATATCTGACAAGTTCCCAGGGGGGAGGGGTTGTACCCTGTACCTTTTTGGTTGATGGTTTTCAAACCCTAGCTCACACTTGCTTAACACACCATGCCCAGCTGCAATTCCATGACCCTACTCTAGAATAAAAACTGGGTCTTTCTGCAGGTACTGTCATCACAAAAGAATCAAAGAAACCAAAAATAGAGTTCTCCTGGGGGCTTTATTGTTTGGTTGTATTGTTTCTTTTGCTGTACATAATCTGTTCCTCGGTTCCTACAAAAAGAACCCAAATCCAAAAATCCTTCTAAACTGTTGTTATTGGTTATCACAGATGTCTGTGCTCTACACCATAGCCCATGCTAAGCTTCTTGACAACCGCAATCTTTGTCATCCCATGGTCATCATACCCACAAATCTAAGGTCTCAACATAAGTAAGAAATTAACTTACATACAAACAGTGGCCACCACACTCTGCAAAAAGAAAACAAGCAATAAACAGTTGGTACAAAAAGTTTAAAGCTTCAATGGTACGAAAGTTAAGGTAAACCCCATATATTTAACATAACATAATCATTAATGGAAACGGATACACAGATTGTGGGGGCTGTTAAGAAATTATACACACCCATATTGTTCCAAAGCACAACCAAGAATAAGGAAAAGCACACCGATCGCTGCACTGAATGACAGAGCAATTATCCTATGAGAAAAAAAAAATAGCGCTTTAAAGGCATCAAAACGACATGCACATTTCAAATGTAAGCATGCAATCATAAATATTTGACAAGATGACTTGAAAGGGTAAACTCTCCATTTCAGACGAAAATTTACACTTACGCTGGTAAGTCATCCATGAAAATTGACGAATATGAAAGGAAAGAAAACAACACAAAATTTGTTTAGAAATGAAGCAGGTACTTTTGACAACGCCTATAAATCAATCATTAAATAAAATTCTTCTCACTGCACCGCCTTACCCCATATGCCCGCCATCTTGTCTCTCGTTCCCAGCTCTTCACGTGATTACGTATGAGAGTTGCTTCTTTACGTAAGTTGCTACTTTTGGAAATTATCGGTATTCATTCCTCCCTTGTCTTTTTTCTTTCAAATTCTCATTTAAATGATTCTGACGTATACTCTGTAAGCATCTTAAAATTATTAGAGGGTCTTACAAGAACTTCTCAAGTGCACAAGTACCTATCAAAAAATCCGAGTGAGAGCTGGGGTCTAAGCTTGTCGGTTGCATAAAAAAAATGGCGGACAAACACGAATATTTGTGTACAAAATAAAATGTAGCGGTATTAAGCTAAGAGAACCACCCGAGCAACTTTCGAGACCAGCTCCGGTAGAACATACAATGTACAGAACGAACATATTATGTTACTAAAGCTTGACGTTCTAGCGTCAACCACAATCAAGAGGAAGAAACCATGGCCAAAGTTAGCATGGCTTGGCAAGGTGAGCATAAAACATACAGTACCACTAAGAGTGGTATTGTTTCCTCTTTTATATTGGTTGTTTGACTTTTCCTTGATGCCCAGCTCAGTATGAGATGTAATGTTACTTTAGTAAACTGCTTCATGCTGAAAACCTATACTAACCTTGTATGTTTCTATGTTTGCTAACGATGGTTAATTTTTGCAATTTAAAAAGCTTAACAGTTAGCCCTTTCTTCATTTCTTAGGATGTTGGTGACTTATTCCTGTTTGACTCTCATCGGATCAGCCAGTTGTATTTACCATCAGGAAAAACAAAGAAAAAAATTCCTCTACTCCAAAACTATCTTGAAGATGTGCAAGGGTTTGGCATTTCTCCAAATGGTAAGAAAGTGTATCTTCCCCTATCTCACATACATACCCTGCATGAGAGATTGATACAGTACTCAATTATTTCGATTTAGTTGTAGAAATCAGGATTAATCATAGAAGCATCTCTTGTACAAATATGAAACCTACCCTTAAAGGGACACAAGCCTAAGTCATGAACCGTCAGTCCAATATTTTTCTGATAAATGGACTTGTACAGTAGAACCCCATTAATGCAACCACTGTCGGACTATAATACCCTGGTCCTAATAATGAGGTGATTGCATTAACGTGGTATTCAAAATAATAAAGACTGAGCCCCTAAAAACACAAACCCAGTTTTTTTACATACCAGCGTTATTGCTCCACCAACATATTTTCTCCACCAGTATTCTGTCCCCAAGGTGACATGATTTGAAAAACGAGACTTTTTAAGTGTTCCACAAAATTTGAAAATATTGCCAAAAAAGATTTCATTGATTTGAATGGTTGCACCTTAGGATATTGTCCACAGACTCTATAGTTAGATGCACTTTTCAAGATCCCACCAGTCATTCTGGAAATAAGGCTCAAGCACATTCCTCTTTTAAGTAGATACTGGAAAGTGTTCTCTGGGTGTCCACTTAATGCAAGTTTCACTGTCAGTAAAGTAATCTTGTTTGACAAAAATACAATAAATTCTTCCTAATACAGGCCTGTTTGTTGCTGGTGCATTGAACTCAGGAAGAATTTTTATCTGGAACAAAAGCTTTGGCACAGTACAGCTTACTTCTGTGTTGGACAAGATAAGAATTGTCCACCCTGGAACAAGTAAGTGGCCTTAAACAAACAATACCTCTTTCATGATTCTTTAGTCAGGGCAGAGACATACGTGCACTCACACTTTATGAGAGAGGAATGGGTGTCAAAACAATTTGATAACAATAATAAATAAATAATGAAGAAATACAGACTCAGAGTAAAGAGTTTTGTAAAGCAAAGTATTTTGATCTATCTAAAAAATGTTTCCTCAGTCTTTTGATCTTTTCATTCACTATCAAATGTTTCAGAGTACTGCACATGGATACAAAATTTTTATGTTAGATTCAGGCCTCTTTCCTTGTCCAATATTAGACCTAGTTTGCCAATGAGTGTTACCTCCTCAACCAGCTATTTGTTCTTTTGATCCTCTGCTCTAAGCACTTGGATATCTTCAAGCTTGTTGCCATGCCTAAAGGCATACGACACTTTGGAATTGTCAGGTGATGGGTAATCATTTAACTGATAAGATGAAATGATGCAGAAGTTTGATTTTGAAAGAAAATGTCTACTGCTTTTTCCAGCTACAAATTAATCAGTGGGTTGCTTGCTCATTTCAGGACACACAGGTCTGTTTCAGCTGTATATTTCAGACTGTGGAAGCAAGGTTTTAGTCCTGGTTGGATTACGTCAAGTTTTTCTTTGGGAAACACAAGAAAATAACGTAGCTGGGGATGCCGGTATGACCAACATAGTTCTAGTATCAAACAAATTCCATTTTCCAGTACAGTCTAAACTTCCTCATTCCTTCCACACTTACATGAAAAATGAAGTTTTTTGGATTGATTTTAATTTTTCCTTCGTACAATTTTTTTCTTTTTTTTGCTTTTCAACTTTTACCCTTTTATACTCAGAGTCAATTGAGTAGGGTACATGGAATGAACGTTAAGCATACAGTACAAAGACTTGAATGTGTGTTCAAGCCCAGCCACCTCTATAGGAGAGAAGGGGTTTAGTTTTGACTGAGCTGCAGCAATGAGCCATCTTCAGGAGTCTTCCCTGAGCATGATAGAGGGACACTGCAGTGTGTCATTCTAAACATTCTGTTTTGTTGTGTATCTGCAGTTGGTGATTCATTGAAAGATATTTGGCTGCAGATTCAGTGTGGAACTTATCTTCTGCCAGATGAAAAAGACAAAGAGACTGCTATTGATGGCATATTCTTTACTGATCCAGTAAGTTAATGTTGATCTCTCTGAATTTCAAGCAGAAAATATGTTCTTTGTCTTCCATTTGCAATGCAAACCAACACTATCTTTGAATGCTGAACATGAGATTGCACTGATGACAGATGTCTGTTTTGTAGAGCTCTGATTCAAAGACAGGCTTCAACTTCATCATTAGCAGTTTCTAATGAGACCGTTTCACAATGTAGTCACTTGAAGATCGCAGTTTCAAATGTTTACCGCTAGTCTTCATCAGTAACGTGAGGTCAGCTGTTTACAAAAAAGCACATTGCTCTGCTGTGAATGGTTGGTTTTCCGCAGCTGTGATTCTCGCTGTTTCAGGGACTTGTTGCGTCCGTTGTTTCTTACAGGGCAAACTAGTGAACTCGGGTGAACTCGCTGCAGGGCGAAACCACTGGCTTCCGTAGTGACTACATCATAAAGCAAACAATAATACAGTTGGTGTTACTGTAATACACCACAATGAATAACTTTAACCTTAAAAGACTGTTTCTATTTTGTTTGTTTGTAATCCTAGCTGTGTGGTACTTCTTGCACTCTTTCCTGGGTCTTTAACAAAGGAGACAGGATTCATGTTACCACACTGCACTTGTTATGGCCAGAGAAAACCTACAATTTTCAAGTTGACACCTCTAACAGCCAATTGGAGGAGGGTATGTTTTACATTAACAGGAAAAATTTTTACCTGAAGTGAGAATTAGCCTGGAAGCATTGACACAAGGCTGTGCATGTTCTAAACAAAATAGTATTTGGATAGTGCAAACACTTTGACCCTAAAAGATCCTGTATACCCAGCATGTAAGTTTCATCCAAGTATTAAAACTAAGGGTTTTAAGGGGGCCACTGTGCACCACTGTAGTCTTGTGATTAATAGACATGTGCTGAACTTTAAAAGGGTTATCATGGAGAAATGATAGATTAAAGGAGCAATGCCACAAACTGCTTAAAACTTGTTTCCGTGGGCATAGAGAATTTTACAGTGATTGCTTATTCCATTGTCATATAAGAGGATGGCCAGCAGATAGTTTGTGCATATGTTGAGCTCAATTCTTCTTTTCCCCTGGACTTTCTTTTGCTAATCTTAATTTTTTTGCCCCTTCATGAAGCCCGGCTTTAAAGGTGAGCATTTGGCTAACATAGTAGGGGGGGGGGCAGAGGTGGAGTTTTCAACCGCATTTTTTCAAAAAAGTCAAATGCCTGGTCATGGGAATGAAAGAACTAATGACTGACTCCTTGTTTAGTGGTTTTACGCCTTTTTTTCATTTCCCCTAACCTATGTGAAACCTGTGTATATAGATTGCTTCCTTCTTGTGTTTAGGGCTTGAACCATCCTTCACCCCAGCATGGCGCACATTTAAGCATTCTCTCTACAACCTGACCCCTGCTGAAAGGACCATCAAGAGCAGAAAGGCATACATTGCCCGGGTATCACCAGATGGACAAATTATGGTGATAGCAATGAACCAGAAGTTTGCAGCTCACAACAGAGTGATGTTTTATTCACTGTCTCAGTCAGCAGTGGCTGTGATTGCAGACTTGAAGGGCTGTGGAGCAAGGCTGAATACACACGGGGGTGTCCCTAGTGGAAGGTCAGATGTAATAATGATAATAGTAATAATAATAATAATAATAATAATAGTAATAATAATAACGGTGACCCATATGGTGAGTGAGTGCGGTAAGCTGGCGCAGACAGAATATAAAGGATGGCATGATAACATGGCACAGTATATCCACTGGCAACTTTGTGGTAAATGTGGATTGGAAAGGGCTAATAGATGGTATGGACAGAAGCCGGAGGGAGTGGTGGAAAAAGAAAACTTCAAGATACTTTTGAATTTCACAGTCCAGTGTGATCGGAAAATTGAGGCAAGAAGACCAGACATTGTCTTTATTGATAAGAAGGAGAGAGAGGTTGTCATAAAATTATTGATGTTGCCATCCCAGCTATTGAAAGATGAAATTACAAAAGTCTGGCGCATGCGAAAAGTCATTGTAGTGCCTGTGTTATTGGGGCCCTTGGAGCAGTATCAGTCAACTTTAAGGAGTACATGAATCAAATCGGCGTGAACGTGAGGTTGGAAGTTATTCAAAAAACAGCATTGTTGGAGACAGCAAAGATACTAAGGAAAGTACTGTCCCTGTAAGAAGAAGGAAAAGAGAGACCTTGGACCCGTGGTGACTTGTTCTAACCCGCTCCCAAGGACTATAAACCAGGCCGAACATCCTGCCCGAGTCTACAAGGAATGGGCATAATAATGACAATGATTTATAATATTGATGATGATGGCGATAATGATTTAATGTCTGCTCATCAATGTGGCCATTCCTGCTGAAAAACAAACGCCTTAATAAGTTGTTGTATATAAATACAAAGTAAGATCTAGCCCGGTTTGCTGAGTTGTATAGGTAAGCCGCGGTGTACCGATCGGGAGGCAGGTCACGGGTCAGGGGCACCCAACGTCAATTTTCGAAAAATATCTGTTCTGAAGACGATTTAAGATCTAGAATTTTCGGAACATTTGTTGTAAAATTTCTTGCTTGCCTGCCTCTAAAAAATAGTATAATTGCCCATTTTTAACGGATTTTTACCCTAAGGTCACCTAGAATTTTCGGGAGCCTTTTTTCTGGCTGAAATTTTCGAAAACGTAAGTTTTGATCCCTATAATTTTCGGATCACTAGACTTTCAGCTAGGAAATCCGAACAGATGAAAAATTTTTAGGAGATGAAAATATACCCATATCTACCGTTTAAATGCTAAAATACGTTTAACAATGCTACGTTTAAGTGGTTTTGAACTATATTCTCGTTGGGTGTCCCTGACGGGTTGAAATCCCGGCCTGCCCTGAGAGGGTATGCGTGGAGCTGTTGCGGTGAACCTGCCGAGAAATTAATGACAAACGTAGTTAAAATCAAGAGCATTCAGTTTTATTTTGCAGCAATCCAGAAATAAAAATTACAAAATGGTCAAGCGAAAATATTAATTTTAGAAAAAGATTAGGGAGCTTGGTTTCTATGAATTATGGCTATAATTTACATGCTTGCTACTCGTTCTAATCCTTGTGCTATGGCTCTGTGGTTGTTGTTAGTATTTCCTTGTTCCATGTTTTGTTGAGATTTTTCTTTGGGTTCCTGTTCAGCTTTCATTTGGACCGTAGCGTTTGGCGCTCCAAATAATCGCATCTCAATCTCTTCAGCCTGGGCAATATTCATAGTTCTACAAATCAACTCGACGAACGATACACGAAACTCTCTTAATCTGACTGAGTAAATTATGGGATTGAAGAAAGAGTTTAACGAGGTCATCGACAGTGCTAAAAAGCTTAATATATATACGACGTCCAACGACACATCGCTTCGATATCGTAATAAAACAGTTCTTACAACAATTCCTGGCATATAACACAATATTAGCACAACTACGATAGTAAATTAATGATAATGATAATGATAATGATAATGATAATGATAATGATAATGATAATGATAATGATAATGATAATGATAATGATAATGATAATAATAATAATAATGATAAAAATAATAAGAAGAAAGACGGTGGCCTATGTGGTGAGTGAGTGCGGTAAGCTGGCGCAGACAGAATATAAAGGAAGGCATGATAACATGGCACAGTATATCCACTGGCAACTTTGTGATAAATGTGGATTGGAAAGAGCTAATAGCCGGTATGAACAGAAGCCGGAGAGAGTGGTGGAAAGTGAAAACTTCAAGATACTGTGGAATTTTACAGTCCAGTGTGATCGGAAAATTGAGGCAAGAAGACCAGACATTGTCTTTATTGATAAGAAGGAGAGAGAGGTTGTCATAATTGATGTTACCATCCCAGGTGATGACAGGGTGAAAGATAAGGAACTTGAGAAGTTAGAGAAATACCAACTATTGAAAGATGAAATTGCAAAAGTCTGGCGCATGCGAAAAGTCATTGTAGTGCTTGTGTTATTGGGGCCCTTGGAGCCATATCAGTCAACTTTAAGGAGTACATGAAGCGAATCGGCGTGAACGTGAGGTTGGAAGTTATTCAGAAAACAGCTTTCTTGGGGTCAGCATAGATACTAAGGAAAGTACTGTCCCTGTAAGATGAAGGAAAAGAGAGACCTGAAACCCGTGGTGACTTGTTGTAAGCCGCTCCCAAGGACTGTAAACCAGGTCGAATGTCCTGCCTGTGTCTACAAGGAATGGGCATAATAATGACAATGATTTATAATATTGATGATGATGGCGATAATGATTTAATGTCTGCTCATCAATGTGGCCATTCCTGCTAACAGAAACGCCTTAATAAGTTGTTGTATATAAATACAAATTAACATTTAGCCCGGTTTGCCTTGTTGTATAGGTAAGCCGCGGTGTGCCGATCGGGAGGCAGGTCACGGGTCAGGGGCACCCAACGTCAATTTTCGAAAAAATGTTGTAAAATTGCTTGCTTGCCTACCTCTTCAAGGATTTTCGAACATCTGAAAAATGGTATAATTGCCCATTTTTAACGGATTTTTACCCTAAAAAGGTCACCTAGAATTTTCGGGAGCCTTTTTTCTGGCTGAAATTTTCGAAAAGGTAGGTTTTGATCCCTATAATTTACGGATCACTAGACTTTCAGCTAGGAAATCCGAACTGATGAAAAATTTTTTAGGGTTTAAAAATATTCCTATATCTACCGTTTAAATGCTAAAATACGTTTAATAATGCTATGTTTAATTGGTTTTGAACTATATTCTCGTTGGGTGCCCCTGACGGGTTGAAATCCCGGCCTGCCCTGAGAGGGTATGTTGCGGTGAACCTGCCGCGAAATTAATGACAAACGCAGTTAACATCTAGAGCATTCAGTTTTATTTTGCAGCAATACAGAAATAAAAATTACCAAATGGTCAAGTGAAAATATTAATTTTAGAAAAGATTAAGGAGCTTGGTTTCTATGAATTATGGCTATAATTTACATGCTTGCTACTCGTTCTAATCCTTGTGCTATGGCTCTGTGGTTGTTGTTAGTATTTCCGTGTTCCGTGTTTTGTTGAGATTTTTCTTCGGGTTCCTGTTTAGCTTTCATTTGAACCGTAGCGTTTGGCGTTCCAAATAATCGCATCTCAATCTCTTCAGCCTGGGCAATATTCATAGTTCTACAAATCAACTCGACGAACGATACTCGAAACTCTCTTAATCTGACTGAGTAAATTATGGGATTGAAGAAAGAGTTTAACGATCAGTAGCTGTCACGATTTTTCGAATTATATATATGCTGCAGGTTGCTGTGTAGCGAAGCTATAGCATTATTTTGTCAAGAATGTTGTTAAGGACCGTATATTGTGTTATAATCGTGTTGATGCTATCATTTTGTGAGTTTAAAGGCCTTTTTATCTCTCTGAAATTGTTCCTTGGCCTCTAGTGTCACTTGCTGATCTGCAATTTGCTGTTCGATTCGGCGGATTTCTTGGTAAACTGTAACATGACAAAAGACGATGAAGGAAATGCAGACACCAGCAAAAACGCCCCACATGAGGAGAAATAAAGGTTTGTTAACAGCAAGTGGAACGTGCAAAATGATGGATAGGAGCCACGCCAAGATAGAAGCAACAAGGAAACGAGCATCGGTGACGAGGGTGGTGTACGCGAAAGGGTATGTCATGGCCAGGAACCGCTCCGCGCTTACCAAAGCCAAGTGAATTAACGAACCAGACACGAGGACGCTTGGCACGGCTGTTGCAAAAACTTGAAAGGAGCATGAGGCACTGGAGGTTGAATCAAGTAACACTGTTATTGTCAACGCGATGAGGGACGGTTGCATAAGGACCCCGACAACGAAGTCTGTGGAAGCTAGCAAGGCGAGCGCGATGTTGGACTTGTGCATTCTTAGCCGAGATTTCATTTTGACGGCGATCATCACAAGCGCATTCAAGACAACGGTAAAAGGAACTGTAATGATGTTGATGACCACGATGATGATCAGAAAAGTTTGAGTGCAAGTCGAAGTTTGATTAATTCTTCCTCCCAACGTTTCGTAAACCTCACATCCAGATGGGATGAACTTGTTGCTTGGTACACTCGAATTCATTTCTTTTCTTTTTTTCTTCCTGGTTCTCTGCGATTGTCTTACTTCCTGCCTCACCTCACTAAAAATGACTTGGCGGTTTGTGTTGGTCTTGTAAAAGTAGCCTTATCTTCTGTTGTTCAGTTAGTCCCGCTTGTTTTTCAGCTGGAAACATTTATCGTTCTCTGCGGCGAAAGTAAAGCATTTCTTCACACACACACACACAAACGTTCTACGGCATCGCCCAGAATGACGCGGCAGACATCCGTTCCTTTTACGCATTGTCTTACAAAATACAAAGGTTTATTTTTAGGCAATAAAGAAAATGACTTAAAAGACTCAAGAGACCAGCAGTGCGTACTTCTGCGGACTTACGAGCTTATTTCTGAATTTTCACAACTGTTAGCATATGGCTTTTACAGAGGAGACCTTGTTAAAAAAGAAAGAAATATTTTTTGACATGTTTGAAATTGTACCAGAAGTGAAACCGGTCGCAAATTTTGCTTGAATCAGGCCTATTTTAGGAATATCTTTGAATGAGTTTGTTGTTGTGCTTGGATAATGCAATTAGATGTATTCAATGACGTACAAAGGATTGAAAAGCCGTCACTGAACAACACAATACCTAACCAACAATAGTCAGCTTACGGCTTTCAGTTGATTGCTTCCTGTTGAACCAGCTACGTGCCAATTTCAAATCAAGCTTACAGTCTAACCCCTATTAAGCGGAGTTACATCCATACAGCAGTTTCTGAACGTTTTCTTAATGATAACCATTCTGAAAACCATATGCTCTTGATGCCTATTGAAAAACTCAAAACTGGACGCGATTCTATAATTGAGCCTCCACTAAGCGGCCAGAAATCAAAGTCCCGAAATAAATGTAGAAAAGAATGGGGAATTCAGCCTCCATTAAGCGGCAACCCTCTATTAAGCGGCCAGCAATCAAAGTCCCGAAATAAATGTAGAAAAGAATGGGGAATTCAGCCTCTATTAAGCGGCCAGCAATCAAAGTCCCGGAATAAGGGTAGAAAAGAATGGGGAATTCAGCCTCTATTAAGCGGCCACCCTCTATTAAGCGGCCAGCAATCAAAGTCCCCAAATAAATGTAGAAAAGCAAGGGGAATTCAGCCTCTATTAAGCGGCCGCCTCTATTAAGCAAACGCGGCAACCTATTAGCTAGCCTGCGTAACAGGCGCTTGGAAGTATTTGGGCGCAAGAAAGAAATCTAAATTTCAATATTTAATTTAATGTAGAAGAGTTCTCCCTCAGGAGTTAATACTTGCCGCTTGCCTCAAAATCGGGGGCTGCAAGTAGCCCAACCCCTCCCCCTCCCCCTCCCCCTCCCCCTCCCCCCCACGGGTTGCTTCGAGGTGAATTACTCATATCGGCAAGAAAATTACAGAAAGGAAAAAGGTGAAAAAGAGAGAGACCTAAAAGGTCTTAACCAATTTATATTCACACAAGCAACGTTACGCCTTAAAATAAACTTGCACTGAAACCGTGAATCATACCGTTTGAGGTCTTAATGCGCAAACCAGTCGTTTCGATACGAACGCGAGCAGTAGAACTGCACAAAAAATTTACTTCAACTTCAAGTATAGTTTGCTCGTTAGCAGGAAAAAACACGTTGAGTGAACATTCTTCGTTCTGTAAACCAAGCCCGTGGAACTATTTACTCCTCGACTGAATAAACTTGTATCGAAACGACCGGCAACCTCTTGATGCTGTATCTCACTGAATTATTTTCTGTTTCTCACTTTTGTCTTTACTTTCAGGTCTTGGTGGATAACAGACATGGCTTGGACCAGAGACAGTCTTTTGGTTGTGTGCATTACTCGCCGTGGTTCAGTTTGTATTCTAACAAAGCTTGGAGAACCCATGGAGATCTCTACAGAGGGCTGTTCTCTCCACACCGGCCCCGCTTTTTTCCTACCACTCCATCCAAAAATAACTTTTCAGTGAGTACATCGAAATCCATTTTAACTACTCTTTAAGGCTGGAAAAATGCTGCTTTCTCTTAGAGTAACGAATTCCATCAAATCGCGGTCTCACGTACATTTTTCCCAAGGGCAACGGTTTTCGTACTCTATACAAGCATCTGTAAGAATCTGCGATAGAAACTTGACGTTTTCTTGCAATTTGCGCTAGCCAATAAACCATTGAATTTCTACTTGTGTATTCTTTTCTTGCATCGTTGAGTATTGTCCCATCGACCGTTTGTTTTAGAGTGGGGTGTGGGGGGGGGGGTGGGCGTGGAGGGGTGGTGTGAAAGAGAGGAATTGGAGAAGAGACACAGCTTTTCTTGTCTCCTGGCACTATTCCTCGCCCCATTCTCCTTTCACGCCACAAAGGAAAATGGTAACTGCAAGCGCTGGACAATTTTTTGTCGTCAACCTTGAAATATTGTATGGCGTTTGGTACTTTGAGGGTCAAAATATGTTGTAGACAGACTGCAAAACAGCCCATATTCTTGCGTAGTTCAAGAACGCGCGAGCAGTCAAACGAAAGGTCTGGAGCGAGGTTGAAAGTAAAGTGTAGGGGGGGGGGGTGCTTGCGCATTAAAAAACCTGTTTTTAATACAAAACCTTAGTCAGAATTTCAGCCGCCTCCTCCCCTCGCTAAGCGAAATTCAGACTTAAAAAACTGACTGTTTTGCTGTTTACTATCTATTGTTTCTTCGCAGACGGTCACGTGATGTTACCTCGGACTCCACGGAATCGTATGCGTCAGAAAAGGACCCCCTCTCCCAGAGATTCTCTGTGTCAGTACATCCCCTTCTGCCGGTCATTTTGAGCTCCGATGGTTACCTAGTGACGGTGATGCAGCTTCCGCCTGTTGCCAGTTACCATGGAGTCATGACTGGACTCATGAGAGATGTCACAAGGTGTGCCAACTAAAATCAATAACCTCTGAAATGAACTTGGGTATTCATCACTGAAATTGCATGGAATAATTTTTTCCCCGTTTTCAGAATGAATGGGGGAATTAACCTAAAATATAACGAGAAAACTTGGTCATTAGGCACAAACTGACGTTCGCCGTTTACGGTGAATGTTATTCTAGCATTCAAAAACTTATCGATATTTCCTAAAGCTGTCCCCAACTTAAAAGTAAATCCTACTTTTGGCGGCAAAAACGCGAAACCATCTGTCTTGCGTAGAGATAAGCATCCGAAAATTTCTTGCCGTTGAAGTCGATAGCCTACTTTTACTTAGACATCATTTGAGTGAACATGTATCTACGAGAGCTCATTTGGTTTTGCTTCATACTGTTTTTAAAACAGTAGCTGAGATTTTCACTAGAAAACAACACACTGAAGGATTCTGGTAATTGTTAAAAATAATGACGTCATCATACAGTATTACCTTTTAAAAAGTATTCGTTGTGTTTATTGCAGACTTGTCCCGGATGTAGATGTAGAGATTCAAGCCGGATCACTGTCGCGAGCTTCTTCTATGGGCAGAATCAACATATTGCAGTCAGAAGTAAACATTTCCCGTGGGATCACTTCCACAGAATTTCTGTCTGATGCTCCAAGCGAGAATAATTCAACCGGGTCTTCAACGATTGTTCCAGGTTAGTGAATGTTCGTGGCTCCTAGCCTGCGAGCAGCTCCCCTATTTGGGCTAGTGAAGCGAGTCTCGCGAGAACGCGCGAACGAACCTCGCGCGCTCTCGCGAGGCTCACTTGGCTTGCCCAAATAGGAGAGCTTGCTCGCAGGCTACGTCGCTCCTAAACATCTCCTCAACACGATCTTATTTCCTTCATTTTCAGCAACATTAGTAACTTTGTAAATACTAATACAACATAACTGAGGAATTTAGCGATAAGAGAGAAGCTTTAACGTTTCTTTTAGAGAAACGTAGTGTATTCTACTTTGCAAAAATAGGCTTAATAAAATCATGAAAATGGTTAGTAAACAAATTGTATGTGTCTAAATTTATTATAGGCAAAGTTAAGCCAGAGCTAATGCCACTGGGGGCTTTACTCTCTCAAGCACGTCGTCTGTAGGGGCGTCCGCTTTAAATTACAGGGCTTCTTACATATGCGCCACTTGCACATCTCCCATAATGTACCCTATTTCCCCCCCAAAATTTTGCATTACCTTTGTTTTTCACTTTCCTCGGTATTACAGCCACCCCAAGAGAAATTGAAAACAATGCTTTTGCAATTTTTTTTTTTTTTTTTTTGGGGTCACACTGGAACCTGACCTAGGGGGGAAGATCTATCTGGCCACAATCGTACAGGGATAGCCCCCCCTGGGGGAACGGGAGGGGGGGGGCAAAAAGAATCCGCAAAATTTCGACACAAATGGCGTGGAAGGGACCCCCAATTTCCCCCACGGAAAGAAAAACTAAAACAACACCCCCCTTGCACATCCCCCAAAAAGCCCCTTTTTTGTTCCCCCCCCCCCAAAAAAAAAAAAAAAAATTGCAAAAGCATTGTTTTCAATTTCTCTTGGGGTGGCCGTAATACCGAGGAAAGTGAAAAACAAAGGTAATGCAAAATTTTGGGGGGGAAATAGGGTACATTATGGGAGATGTGCAAGTGGCGTATTGCTTTAGTTTTGCTTTCGCTGCGGATAATTGCGGATCCATTCAACGTCATTTGTAGCGAAATGTTGCGGATTCCTTTTGCCCCCACCCTCCCGTTCCCCAAGGGTGGCCTATCCATGTAGGTATCGAGTCAGATAAGTCTTCTCCACTGGATCAGGTTCCAGTGTGACGGTACCTGTTAGTGGCCGCTGCAGGGGTGGTTCCGCTGGCGGGGTTGACATGGATACCTCCCTGCTATGCCTGGGGTATTTTAGACCCCACCCCACCCCACTAACCTTTAAGGCACCAGTTCCCAAGCTCATCTATCAGCGATGAGTTAAATTGTTGGTATGTTTATTTGTTAATCTGTTTGTTTAGGGTACGGTCTCGCAAGTGGAGATCAAGGGAAAGGTTTCTTTGGACTCAATGACCCTGAACTTGAAAGCTCTTTGCCTGAGTACATACCTGGTCATCCAGATGCTATTTCTCATGCCCAGGGCCTCTCTATCATGGCTCTTGCGCTGGGGACCGCGTGTGGCGTGAACTGGAAACGAGAAGTTGGTTCGGCGTTGGACCTAACGGTAAAAGTTATGTTGAAAGTGTTCCAAGTTCTTCTTCGCAGCACTGAGAATGTTGCTAAGCTACGCAGCTTTTCTGAGCCTTTTTCTTCGCCAGGTGATTTAGTAAAACGTCGTATCCCCAGCCCAGTGGGAGACAGAAACCTGTCCCGGGCTCTGGTTTATTTCCGGTTGTCGCTGGAAGTGTTTAAGTGGGATTCAGGTCACAGAAACGTGTTTGCCTGGGCTTTTCATTTCACACACGGTATTATAAAGGAGATACTGCTTCTGAGAGATGCGAGTGTTGTTTACCGCATTACTTGTTGTCTTCGAGTGTTGAAGATAGCAGAACGTGTTCTTAATCTTGTCTATACATCAAAGAGTGAAGGTACACCTGATCTACAAGGCAGTGAACCACCTTCGCAAAACCTGCTTCAACAAGAATCTGAAAAGGTTGGACTGGAAAAGCAGGAACCTAGAGAGGACACACCGGGGTCGAAAACGGATAAACAGGAATCTGATCTGGTTAAACCAGGATCGGAACTTGTCAAACAAGATGCTGAAGCTCAACAGGCGATAGAGAGGAAAGGGAAAGATTCAGAAAATGAAGTTTCTGAGAGTTCGCAGACCCAGCAACAAACCATCGCTCAAACACATCTCAGTGGATCGTGGCTTCTGCTGTATAACTTCACCTCAGAAAGTTACAAGAGAATCCAGAAACGACGAACTTCTTTGTTTTCTGCTGAGGAAAGCGAAAGCAGAGGAAGCGTTGAGCAGAAAATGGTTGAATTACTTTGTGAAATTCAAGAAAAACTGCAGATGCTTGGTGTAAGGATTCCAATGAATCCTGGCGCGACAAAGGAGACTATTGTGGGTAAGTTTCTTGGTAATGTGTGTATCACCAAATGAGATACAAAAATATGTTCAAAAGGTTAATATGCCCATACCATAAAGTAGGTAATGACAGTGCGATTAGCGCTGGGTTTATACTTTTAGATGGTTCTCGCAAACAGTGGAGCCTGAGCCTTACGAGCGCTTATAACCCAGTGAAAAGAAAAACGTCAGAATGTCTCCATATTCTTACCATTCTGCATATAACTCTGTGGCTTATGTTCTAGTCTACGTTGCAGACACGCTGAACCTTCCGTTTATAGCCAAGGTTTACGCGATACTTGGACCGGCTGCAACCCAGGCTGTTATGTTCCAGTGAAAGCAGATTGCCAAGTCGCACGTAGAAGGAGAAGAATTAACCAGTCACAATGCATGGGATCTAGCACTGCAATTGGTTTATAATTCTCCTTCTTCTTACGGCTCTGACGATTTCGTTTTTACTAAATTGTACTAGTGGGAGGAATGAAGTCATAAGCAGAATAGGAAATTACGTATGCCAGTTACGCGACTTCGTGGGATACCGGGATATTAGGCAGATTTATCAAAGACAACCTGGTAAGAGAGAAAATCGTCAGCCTTAGGTTTGTGTGTCAGAAGACTATTTCGAGCTACCGACGTAACATAAAGGCCTCTTTACCTTTTTCACTCGATACTGGTGCAAAGAGTTTACCACTGTTTGTTATTGCTGTCTTTCAGATGTCATCGCCTATTTGGACGGCACCTACCACAATTTGCCATCCGATAAACCGCAGGACTCTTTGTTCTCAAGAAGACGATCCAGCCTGCAAGAAATTGCGGGAAACGAGCAAAGTTTGGACATGTCGAGGAGATATGGGTCACCTTTCAGGGAAATACCGGACCTCCAGCAATCACGTGATACACCTTTAAGACTTTCACCCATGGGAATTTCTCGTGGAAGTGTGAATGAAGAGGATTCGAAAACGCTGTTGTCTATTCTTTATTTACAATTACAGCAGTACGATCTACGAGCAGCCCTTGACCTTGTGTATTCATTACTTGAGCCGCAATATTCGTGTGACCAATTGGAAAGCTATGGTAGTTATTCTTTTTTATTTAGTACCGAGGGTGCTTTACAAATCGGCAGTCAAGCGCCCTCTACAAATCACCGAATGGAAGCCTTGCTTCATAATTACCCAATCGCTAGAGTTGGAGATAATCGAGGCCTAAAAGTGGTGCATACACTTGCTAGGTTCATGTCAGCCTACTTTTCAAACTTTTCACTCTTTGTTTTTCCACCATATCACCCTATTCCACTTCCACCGTTCCAGGACCATGAACAACGCAGTGACACGCTTGTTGACGCGAAACGGCAGGGACCTTCTCAAGCTGCAGAACATGTTCCACTTGAAAGGGCCAAAGTAGCTCAAGCAGTACGAGACCAGGGTCTTTATGAGCTATGGAGTGCCAATACTACTGTGGAGCTATTGCTTGTGTCTGGGTTGATCCCGGAAGGGGCGTGGCTGGCCATGAATCTTGGTGACTGGAAAAACGCATTGCTGCTTTCATTTGCCAACGATTTGCTTATGTCTAGTGTATCGCAAACTACTGCTGATCCAAAGTCCAAGTCCTTGATCCAAGTCGTTTTCCCACTATCTCCACTTGACATCGAGACTAACGCCATTGCCATGTCAAGGCTTAATCCTGCCTTCAAGCCGGTCCCTCATGAGGGAAAAGAGGAAACTACAAGTTCTGTAGACAACAATTTAACTCACTCAGCCACAAAAAAGAAAAGCCAAAGGTATTTCAATATTTATCATAATTATCCATTTTGTAATTACTGGTGATCCCTGCAATCTGATTGGCTCTCAGCAGTGTGATTTATTCACGAATCATATAATTTTTTGCTCTAAATCACACCTGTTCCAAATCGTGTCATTCATGTTCTAAATCGCATCATTTCTGTTGTAAATCGCACCATTTTTGCTCTAAATCGCATCATTTCTGTTTCGAATGCAATATGAGATGTAAAAGCCTTTTTGTTTCCGCTTTTCAACAAACCGGCTACTTGATCAATAAAATGTAAGTACTGACTGAATTCTGCGATTTCAAAATGGCTGTAATAGAGTGGTAGTTGAACTTAGTGTCGTGCAATTCAGTTTGGTCTGAAATCATACCGAACTCGTGCTGCGCGGGTTGTACTGTAGACTGGGTCGGTGTTGCTTCGAATTGCACCATGGGACTGTTTTCTAAGGAACATTGTATTAGCCAATGAAAAGAGTTTTTGCTTGTCCAAAACAATCCCATATTGCAATTCGACACAAAACCGACCCTGTCCCTGCGCAACTTAAAAATGATCAATTATAATGGTGTTCCAGAGGCATTTTGAACACGTGATTAACGTGTCGGATTTTTAGATCAGGCTCCAGTTGTTCAAAAGGTGGATAGCGTTATCCACTGGATAAATCACTATCCAGTAACTAACGCAATTGGTTTACATACTACTTATGCGCTGGATAGCAATTTATGTAGTGGATAGCGCTATCCAACTTCTGAACAACCGCGGCCTGGAGGTCGGGGTCCCAACCAGGACCGTGCCATCGAGTTTTTTCTCATACGAAAAGATCCACGATGTCCTTCTCCTTTCAGGCCCCAGTTGTTCAGAAGTTAGATCAGCTATCCAGTGAAAAAAAATCGCTATCCAGTGGATCAGTGTTGGGGAAACCAATTGCTTTATCTGGCTCATTTGTTCGAAGGGTGAATAGCACTATTCACTGGGTAAATTACTATCCAAAGGATAGCGCAATTGGTTTTCTTACTACTTTTCCTCTGGATAGCGATTTATCCGGTGGATAGCGCTATCCAACTCTTGAACAACCGGGGCCTGGTGTATAGTGACAGGTATCTGCCCGGTGGGTAGCGTTATCCACTTTGCGATCAACTGGGGCCAGGTTTATAAATGAATACCGGACTGCTTGGGGTAAGCCTTAATTCATTCAGGGTTGTTGTAATGCTCAGACATGTTATTCACCGGCTATAGTAACTGGGATAACCTCCGACCATGTGGCCCTTCTTGGTTGGACTTGCCGGCGCGTGTAACTTTGCCTTATTGTTTTAGATCCCAGCAGACTCCACTGGAAATAGGAACCGAGCTTGATGATGATAAAGTCATAAAAGAGATGTCTGGTATCCTGGAGGCTGGAGTAGTGGCAAGACTTGACTTGGTACCTTTGATCTTAACAAGTTTGCTCAGCCAGTTAAAGGAGGTGGTAACCGCTTTTGTGTGGTTAGTTCCCGAGGAGTTTTACTTGCCATATCCGCCGTCTTACTGCCCACAACCGACTAATACAAAAAAGGTAAGAATTAGCCATAACTATATAACACACTTCTTCTTGCTTCACGTAATTCAAGATTTCGTTCCTCAATTTGCCAGGTTTGAACTGCGTTTTTTAAGTGCATGCGATTGATCGATCAATTATCCTTTCGATAGAGAAATTGGTTGTTTCGTTGTCCCATTTGTGTTGATAAATTACGTCACTGCTTGGTGTCAAAACGGTAAGATCCAACGGATGGTTCATATGGACCAAATCAACCAATCAATCTTGGACCAGGGACGACATTAGTCTAAAATATCATCCGTCTCTTCGCCCCACCCCCCTCCCCCCGAGAGTCACTCTCGCCTGGCCTCTCGTTGGGTGACTAAGTCGAAGAGACGGATGACAATTCAGACTAGGGACGACACCCGTCGCGCGATCTACTTTTTTCTTTCCAGGGCATGATGCCACCAGCTGCCGAAAAAGAAGAGCAACTCCGCGTCAATGTCGCGAGGATTGTTCAGAAGATCCTCCTGTTGCTAAATGCTTCTAACTGCTTGGGGCCGTGTGTAAGATGGTATACGGAACAGCTTGTTCAGGCCACAGAGACCTTTCATAGTGTGGACAGAAGTTCCTCTGAGTTTCCCATGCCTTCCTCATTGGTGGGGTATGCTGACCGAGGATTTAGTTTTCACGAGAAACGTGGTCATATATCACCTCAGAAGAAAGGTAATATCCTTTACTTAGCTGAGTTGCATTTCTCCTTCCATTAAGAGTCGATTTGGCCGATACCTTCCCACGCAGACGTTCTTGGGGCTTCGTCACGCTTTCCGGTCCGTGGGGCAGGAATGCGTAAACTTTAAGAACGTCTGCGTTGAGGAGGAGCGTTGCGTGACGACCCTTAAAACGGCTGCAAAGGAGACTACGTCTGCGTAGGAGGCTATTTAGCTGATTGTTAGTCAGAACTCTGCTAAAATCATCGAACAGTCATTTAAAGGCAAACAAAGGCAGATAGTGAATTCGTTGAGGAAGAGCTAAATCTACTGCTGGATTGTAGTGTGAAATGAAGACACGAACCTTGTTGTTTCCAGGGAAAAAAACCGCGGCAGCTCCTTCAAGCGGTGATAAGGATACGACCACTGAAAAGCTACCATCCTCCGTTAGAAGTGTCCTAAGGTGTTTTCGTGATTTCTGTGCAATTATGTGGTTATTGCATGCGCGTGATAAGATGAGCAAGTCATCCAGGAAGTACAGAGAGCTTAGAAGCCAATCAACAGGAAACGAAGAGGTAAGAGGTATATCAAACGCGTAGAGAATATACAGACGCGGAAACATGGGCTGGAGAAACGAGGTCCTGTCGAGTATTTTAGCCTGTCTTGTTAGAGATATCTGCTGTCTTTGATCTATTTCAAGTTCATTTTTGCACGTTGATTTAAATAACTTCTTCTTGGTAATTGACACCAATTTTTGATCCTTTCCATCGTTTTTTTTTTCTTATCATAAGAGAAATTGAAAACTTGTTTTGTCGCACTGATTTGCCATGGATTCTTCTAGGAGACCACGACCATCCAGTCCATCTGTTGGGAGACCCTTCATTGGACTACTAGACTCGTTCCATTCAGCTTGTTACTGAATGCTTCAGACAAAATCAACGACACTTTACTCACCCTTCTATCTGAGTTACCACCCACTATTGCCACGGCAGAATTGACAGCTCAATTCTTTGACGACCCGGAGGTGGTTCAAACAGCGACTGGGACGGCGAAATTTAAGCGCCTCATGGCGCAGTTTCGAGGTGTCAGTGTACAAGATGGTGATGGCGAACATGAGCCGCTGTCTGTGTTCTATCGTCGGATATCCTGGGAGTGGAAACGAAAACACGAAGAAGATGAAAAGCTGTTTGGCAAAGATTGTGATCAGTTTTTTGCAGTTCCTGATGCAAGCGAGAGTTCTACCTCGAGGCATGACGATCGTGATCGAGCCGTGGGAACGGTATCCTTCGAGGCGCAGCCATCTTACTTCCAGTTCTTGGACACATTTTTTATGATCACTGTCTCCAAGACTGTCCTGTCACATCACAGCAAAGCACCATACCCGGTTCCTCTTCTTTCCTCCTACAGCAAACGTCTTTTAGCAGCAGACACAAACGCGTTGATTGCTTTACAAAAGAAGTTTTATAGTGATCCTCCTCACAAATCCGTCAAGGATGGGTCGGGTCTTTCAAGAAGCCACAGCTTCACAGATGTTCGTTCTTCTAGGTTGGGATCAGGTGTTTCTGTTGAACGCTCTGAAACTGGTGCAGACATTAAGCGCAGTAACAGCATGAACGATATAGCCAAGCTGGGTTCTCTACCTGACTTAAAAACCTTGGGAAGCCAGATACTTGATTTCTTGCCAAGTTTAACTTATCTTAGTAGATGGACCTTGGAAGGTTCGTCTTTTCCTTTAGGTTCTTATGATTCTGGTGCTCGCGCCACTCGGGAATCTCTTCCAGTGATGCGGGTGCACGTTCCTTTGCCTCTTCTTGTTAACGGTTTGTGGTTGCTTCAGAATGTTTACTGGCTTTGGGTCTCTAATCGTGAGGTTTTAAAAGACATTCCAGTCATTCGGCAGACGCCTCCTCTAAGACGTTTACCCAAGAGCGCAAAAGACCGTTACGCCCGCGTGATAGATACTTCAACGCCACCAAAAGGTTTGCGTAAAGTCCTGAGCGATTCCAACATCCAAGGGTCGGTAAAAAAGTCTCCCAAGCGTCACAGTTTTTTCAGTGGAAGGCTAAGACATCGTTTAGAGGCTGATTATCACCAATCGACCCCAGATATGTTGAAAGAACCTCAAAGTGAAGCAGTTCGTTTAACCAGTGGTTTAACAGAGTCCACCAACGACATCCCAACAAAACCCAGGAAAGAATCGACCCATGTCACCAAACCACTACACAAAGTACTTGGGTCAGCTCAACAATTTCATCGTATTCCAAAGTCAAATAGTGATCCGAACATTCCGAACATTGTGGTGCATAGTCCTACAACAGATGAAGAGAAGACAGATTTTAGTTTTGCACTGAAGAAAAGGAAGACAGTTAGAGGGACGGAGAGAAGTCCAACCACTTACCACTCCGATACAGGTACAGAAACAACACCAAATACTTTTTCATGCACGTGTATATATCTTTATCTTTCGCACGCTCCAGACGAATATTGCAAAAATGGCTGAAATCTTTCATTGTAGTGGCTTGGGCGTCCATAAAATCTTTTCCATTGGTCTTACTTACCATTTTTGCATTTGCTTTATTTCATTTGAATGTTTAGAGTATCAAATGAAAGCCACAGAGCACTCGTTTCTGCTGTGCTATTGTCATTGTACAAGGGTGTTCTAACGTTTGAGTCTTAAAATAAAATATTTCAATGTGACCATTCAGATGAAAGCCATTGAACAGTTTCGTGTGTTGCTGTTAATTACGCTGTACAAGGTGCCTGAAGTGCGACTACTGAGCAATATTTTTCTAGAGTTCTGTTTCCTGATTTGCTGAAAAATGTAGCTGATTTCGTTTCGTTAGTTCTGTCTTGAGTGCTTTTAAAACTGTTAAAAACCTTGGTGTTGTTGTCCTACTAGTGCTGTGTGCGTTTGTGATTTTAATAGTTTCCTGTCATTTTTACAATTTAACTTATTCTTCTCTGCAGATTTGCCGTCTCCTGGCAAGCCAATCGTGACCTCCACTCCTGCAAAAGCCAAGCGCTCAAAGAAAACGAGACGAAGAGAACACCTGGCGAAAAATATGTCCGATGAACACACAACAAAATCAGCCATCGTCCCAGACATTGACGGACCTGACTTAGGAAAACAAGAAAGCGACGGTAAGAAGAATAATGTCCTACGCTGCCGTTTTAACCCCTTAAACCCTTATATCAAAAGTCACATTCTCATTTGTTGTCCTTATACGTTTCCTATGGTACTAGTGGGAAGAAGTTGTTGAAGAATCTGTTAGATTCATCTTGTGTGATCATGTCCTTAATTCTTGTCATCACCGATTCTATAAAGCATTGATATTTCAAGGAGAAATTTGATGCTGATCGTTCTTAGGGCTCTAAGGGTTAAGTGCCGTCGCGCAAACCCTCCTTCATATTTTTTTTAATTGTTCATTTGTAACCGCGAGGCTCTTTTTGGAAGCGTTTTGAAGGTTCTCTGCGAGCTCTCCAGTCATGTAGCAGCTCTCTCGACCCTAAAAGCCAATTGGTTCGATACCCTAACCGTGAAAAAATGCGAAATAATGATAAACAATGATGTGTTATTGTTTTCTGCTCATTGACACTCAAATGAAGTGTTTTTTTTTTCGCAAAATCGGTCAGAAAACGTTCTGTTTGCCCTATAACTTTATTAACTTACAAAGTGCCCTTTTGTCAATAGTTAGGACAATAGAAGATACAACGTCCTTGACACAGAAGACAAAGGAACGGAGTACAGATTCTAGGCCGATCATTAGGACAGCTACATCGCGTCAAGGGAGAAGGAGAAAGAAGTCCCCGGATGAGAATAAGGTTACTGATGTCATGCATGATAATCAAAAAGCTGTTGGTGCTTTGGTTGCCAAGGATTCCAAGCAGGCAAAAGAGGCGACGGCAAGTGATTGGAGCCAGCATTCTTCAGCTTCTGAGGCAGCGGTATCACAAGGGAAAATGGAGTTACTTCTTGTCGTTAGGTAAGATTTAGCTTTGGTGTTAAAAGTTGCAGAGCAAACAAACAACACGCTCAATTTCATTAAGAAGTTTTGTGACGAAAACGTTAGGAAGGTCCTTTTTTTTTTGTTTCGATTTGTTGTACCAACATTAGCACCTTCGAAAATTGGTCGGGCAGACTCTTAAAATCTAGAGCTCACCACTCAAACGTAGGATGGTTATCCTGTGTTGGATGTGACCATCTGTATATTCACACTGGTAGTTTTTTTAGACTTAAGTTGTACATGCTGCTGTTGCTTATGTTGTTTTTGTATTTTTTTTTTTACCTTTGTACCAAGAAGAGAAGGGATAAGTAGCATGGAGCTTGCACCTACTATAACTCTTTTAATATTGTAATTCTAAGCTATGCAATCTTTCTACATTTTTTTTTCCAGGCCAGGCGATGATGGCGACCAAACTATTTTGCAATCCGGTATTCCTCTTCTCCGGATACCAACAGTTCTGGATAGCAGTAAGAGCTCGGAATTAACTCCTCAAAGCCACAGCAGGAGGCAAACAAACAATACAAAAACTGAGACTGGGTCACAAACTGAACAGCAGATAATGACGTCATCATTTTCACAGACGCGTCAGTTCTCTGGCCCTCCAGATCACGTGACTAATCCGCCTGGTAATCAGATACTAACAACGACTGTCTCGCAAACACAACAACATTTTGGGAGTCACCCGATTCGTCATCATGATCCGCAGAGTTTGTTTTCAACAGCTTCTCAAACACAGGTGCACTCTGGTATTCTTAATCGTGATGACCACTTGACTCGTCCTTCAGGTCCACAGAGTTTGACGTCATCAGCTACTCAAACACAGGTGCATTCTGGGCTTCTAACAGGTGAAGAGCACTTCACTCGTCCTTCAGGTCCGCAGAGCATGACGTCATCAGCTTCACAGACACAAGTGTATTCCGGGATTTCACCTGACCAAGGTCGGGTGGTCAGTCAGTCGGTGCAAGGTACTCACGCGATGTACACTCAAACAGATGTCAACACCGAGCCCAAACCAGCTTGGCCAGTTTTTCCTTTGTTCTTATCACAGCAGCCACCACAAACCTCACTCGTTTTAGTTGGTGGAAGTTCATGTGTCGCTTTAAATGGCAATGAAGTAGAAGGTAAGTGACTGGGTCGAAGTTTTGACCTAAATTCGTTTTACTCCGAAGAACTTTAGGGCTTTGCTTCGTCACTTTGCTCGCTGTTACATCTCCCAGAAACAAAACCCACAGCATCGCAAAGTGTGGTACCTGATCTAAGCAAAATAAAGTTCTTAGAAATTCAACCCAAAAGAGAACTATTGGAAAACAACACTGAAAAAAAAGGACTCGGTACCACGGGCGCGCCCTCTAAGAAGTGGCCTTTGCTGCGCATGACCGAAAGGCAATCGCATCCGACTGCTATTGACTTGAATAAAATGAGGCTTTATGAAAATCCACCATCTGTTCGCGAAGCCTGGCCGCTCTTGGAAACTCCCAGGCAGGCAGAAACTCCGCAGCTAATCCCATTGGAGAAAATACTGGCGTTTGAAAAGAGAATGAGAGATAAGCTCAAACCTCTTACTGAGCCGCCCACGCACCCACTCTACCCTCACGAAAAAGAGAACATCCAACCCCTAATGGGAGATATACCAGCAATGGTGCAGTCTACTGCTTCAGTAACTGAACAACCTGTGGCACAAAACAAGAGAAACGCGCCTTCAAGGTAAGATAACTTTGAGTACTACAGTCATTAGTTTTTGTTTCGTCACGCAACGCCCCTCCTCAAGCTGCGTGAGAGACTATTCAGTCGTACTCTCCCAGGCAGCCGTTTTTGTTTCGTCACGCAACGCCCCTCCTCAAGCTGCGTGGGAGACTATTCAGTTAGTTGTCTCCCACGCAGCTGTTTTTGTCTCATCACGCAACGCCCCTCCTCGAACTTTCCCCAATAGGACGGAGGGTATTTGTATTTATTTATGGAGGGGTCCTTAAGCGGACGTTTAACAGTGCTCGTCTCACGGCTTTTTGTCGTTTTTATGGTCGTTTAGCCTTTGAAGTCAGCAGCTAAATTCTCCTCACGATAACAATGCTTAATTTACCATAATAGTAATGAGGTTAAAAGAAATTATGTAGGTTAAATGTTGCCAACCAAAGAAAATGACATCAAGACTGTAGCGTGTTGGTAAATTTTGTGGATTCGCTTACTTTTGGGATTCGCCCTCATCGTTCTTCCATGTTTTGTGTTTGCTTTTAGACAAAGACGAAGGCAGGCTTTGGAAAAAGAAACCCGACCTCGGTCAACGTCGCCATTGTACAAGAGCAGACGAGGAAGAGGAACTGGTCGCAAATTCGCACAGAGAGAAGTAATTACAGTTCAACCAGCGAAAAAAGCGAGGAGAGCTGAAAGGGGAGTTTCTGATCAAGCTCGACCTGCAAAAGGGCATCAAAGTACGAAGCCACGACAAAACAAGCCGCAAATAGTACAGGAAGTCGTTTCTACGAAGGAGAAGGAAAAGAGTGTTAGCTTGAGCGAAAGTGAGTTGGAATTATCAGAGATTTTTGATCATGTGGTAGATATTTCCGAGGAAGAAGAGGAGTATTTTCGCGTTGAACGAAGTCCAGACTCGAATGCTTTTATCGGCGACGACCGTAAGTATCTAAGTAAAGGAGATGTGCACAGGCCAGCCAGTAAGAAAGGTCACAGTGCCGAACCCGTCAAAAACGGAAACTACAAGGAAACTATTAGAGAAAGAGTTCACAGGGAACCCATGCTCGAAGATGTACTACCTGCTCCACCCTCCATGCGGCGTATAAAGGAGAGAATAGGACGAAAGCTACAGGAAGTCGACCAGCAGATGGCTGAGTATCGGAGTGGGAGCAGCAGCTTTGGTAACAAATGGCGTGATGATTCTGATAGGCAGTCGAGACACGAAGGTGCTCTAAAACAGAATATTGGTATTCAAGTGGGTGAGGAAAAGAAGCCATCGCCAGTCAGTCCTGTCTATTCCTCAAATATCTCTGGCGTTATCGGACTGGGAAGTACTTATAAAGTAAGTTCCAGCTCTCAGACTGATCAACCTCCAGCCCGGTCACCTCCAGAGAGAAGAGACCGGGAACTAGTAACATTTGGTGTTCAAACGGAAAAACAATCTGATGATGTTGATCACGTGACATCCCACGCGCCAGTATTACCACCGGATATCATTTTAAAACTGCAAATGCCCAAGCCTGATCAGGACCGCATCCTCCCCACTGGTTCGCTTATAGATTATGACCAATCTGTTACTGACCCTCCAACCTCTGTACGGGGGAGGCTGATTGGAGTAGATATGAGTGACATGACTGGTGGTGGCCCCCCTGTTAGTTCCACAGATGTTGACCAGGTGACCAATAGTGTTCCAATAGATGTCAGGGGGAGGCAGTTCCTAAGTGTGGCTGATATCGACCATAATCAGTGGTTCGAGGTTCGAAGTGCGCCATTAACGACTGCAGATGAAGTAAGTACAGCTCTTCCTAAAGAAAAGGACACAAAGGAGGAGGAACTGAACAGGAGTGCTGGTGAAAAAACAGAGTTGTTTTCTAAACAAGGTAAATGTGCAAATTACGATATGACATCTCAATTCATACAGTCAAACCTGTATTAAGCGGTCATCCTTGGGTAATGGCTTACTGACCGCTAATATGGGTTGAACGTTTAATACAGGTTTGATTAACCGAAGGGTTATTCAAGAAAATGAAGCTGGTGACATAGCGAAATATCTATCCCATGCCTTTTTGGCCTCAAACTGTTTCTACCTCCACTTGAACCTAAAGAAAAATAGTAAAAGACCACTAAACGCCTTGCATAGTGTATCTGTTGCACTAGTATGGTAGATTTGTGAAGGTGACCTTTTAACAGAGATGAAGACAATAAAGGTCAGTTTTACAGTTATTAAGTGAAACTATTTCAGGGACTTTGGTAAGTGACTGCTTAGTAGAGGTCCGCTTAATACAAGTTTGACTGTATGCTGAAGTGTAGGTACAGCGGAGTAACCGTTATGCTAGTGATTGGTTAAGACACTTTCTTGTAACGCCGGTTCGTATCAATAGCTGCACAACAAGTTTTATTTGTCGAACAGTCAGAGAAGCAGCTGTGTCTCACAAGAAAAGACATGTGTACCGTCCTTTTCAGACCTTTTCAGTAAAAAGTGCATAATGTCTCCACGTACACAGAAGGGACTATTTCTGAAAAGAAGTCGTCTCGGGAAGAAACTGTGCTCTTACGGAAAAGAAAACGTTTCTTAACAATAATATTGCCTCGAGTTAGAACTATCGGTGAAAGAATGTCTATGATATCCATATGATGCTATTGACTGGGAAGAGTTTTCCTTCTGTTTAGCTTCTTCAGAAATTTCAAGACATGAGTCTGTTGAAGAAAAGGAAGATACAGAACACAAACAAGAAAGCAAGAAGCAGTCCTTTGACGGTGCTGACCGAGTAACAGTAGACATGATGGACTCCATAGACAGCTCTTTTCAGAGGTAAGTGGTCACCAAGTTTGCTCACAAAGAAACCAAAAATTTCAAATGCAGATTTTATAAAATGCATAAATCCAACAGTATCACGTGAAAGTACTGACAAAGAGATTTCATTTTAATGGTCACAACACAGGGTTTCATCCTTTAATTAGACTCAAAACTTAGAACTACATACTTAATAAATAGTTCCACTTGAAAGCACTAGTGAAAAGGTTTCACCATGAGATCCCATCCGCAGACTAAAACTTAGGACCATGTAAAAGTACTGCTGAAGTCGTTCCATTTGAATGGTCACACCACTGCAGTATTTCAACCGAAGACTCAAAAGTTAGATATGCGTCACAATTGACTCTCGGCGTCCCGCTCTTGTAGGCATATATATATATTTTTTTGTTACCGCGTGGTAAATGTTATGTCACTCTATATTGTTGAGATGTGTTTCCCCATAAACCAAACGTTCTTTTCCTTGCACCATGGAGCTGATTTGGTGACGCTATCGCTTCTTATATTGGCCGTTACAAAGTGGTTAGATATTCGTCCCCCAAAACCGTCCCATAATACATTCAACACACTCCACTACCTCAAAAAAGCCAATAGAAAGAATGTTGCTGTTACAATTAAAAAATTGTCACTTGATTTTCAGGTTTTACCCACTTCCTTTCCCAGTTGCTTCCCAGTCCAGTGCGCGCACTGTTTCGACGCATGCGCTGAATGAAAGAATGCAAGAAATGAGCGAAAGGATAGAAGCAATGGATCAAATCACGCAGAACATGGACAGAGAATTTAAGAGTTCGCGCGTGGTAAGTACTAGGCTGATTTAGCAACAGAACGGGAACGTCAGTTGACGACGGCGCGCGCAAATCAAACAACTGGCTTGACCAATGGCAGAGTGGCAAATTGGGCACCGGAAGTCGAGTTTGGTCCTTTCCGCGCGCTTTCCCGTCGTCAAATGACGTTCCCGTTCTGTTGCTAAATCAGCCTACTATCGGTACTACGCCCCCTTTGGTTTCTGGGATCGTTACTAGAGACTTTCCGGTCAGTGAGTCTGCGTAGTAAGCGGCTCTCGTTCCATTTTTCGCGCGGCCAAAACCGAAAATCCCGTTCCTCGCCGTTCCCCGGTCTTTCTTTGCTCCGAAACCACACGGAAACGCTTGCTGTGCAGGTTAGCTGGTCAGCAGCCGGTCAGCTATTAACCATTTTCTTACTGACCTTAGTAATAGTCCCAAAACTCTTTGCAAAAGTTAACTTAGCCCAGTCTCCTTTCCCTTTCCAAAGTGGTGAATCTGTTTGCAACTTTACGTGCCATAAACATTCTTTGTCGTTCTATAACCGCCGGGAGTTTTACAAGGAAGACATCCCCTGTGATTTATATTTTGATAACTGGTCTCGCTAAAGTTTCCTCTGCGGACAGAACAATAGATGGTAGCGAAGAACTCCTTAAGAGTTTACATTTGATTGATCACACTTAAAACTCAGACTCGCTATATCTATGAATAACAAGTCACGAAAAAAATTATTCATTCGCTTTCATTTTAATGACAACAAGGATCATTTCAACAGAATAAGAAATTGTACACTAAATGACTCATTATATGGGGAGAATATTTGTGCATAATTAGCTCTGCTTCTTTTTTCCAGCTTCTTTCAGCTATTCAAAGCATCGATGAAGTGCTAAACCCATCTCCAACGGAGGATGAATCCTTCCCGAGGTCCCGTCGAGGAAAGCCCCGGAGATGGGGAGATACCGCACCTTGGAGAAGAGCCTCCAAAAGAATGCCTCAAAAACTACAAAAATCTGAAGGTTGGTTATTTTACCATTGGTTACTCATATTATTGCTAATTCAGGAGTGCAGTTAGCAACAGTCGGCGACAAAATGAGTTGAGACACTTCGCCCAAAACTGGGCTTTTTTACGTTTTATTAACTTCAAAAGGAGGAAATATTGCTTTCCTCCCCCATCCCCTCCGTGCAATGTTGTGCCCTTGTTCTAGCTACNTACCATTGGTTACTCATATTATTGCTAATTCAGGAGTGCAGTTAGCAACAGTCGGCGACAAAATGAGTTGAGACACTTCGCCCAAAACTGGGCTTTTTTACGTTTTATTAACTTCAAAAGGAGGAAATATTGCTTTCCTCCCCCATCCCCTCCGTGCAATGTTGTGCCCTTGTTCTAGCTACCTATAGAAAACAACAAACACCCCAACTTTGAATGGAGGGGACAGGGGAGGGGTTCAATTTTGTCGCCGATTGAAGGATTCGGAGAGTGCAGCGTTACAAACTGTTGGCTTAATTCTTTTCCTCGGTAACACTTTAAGCCCTAATATCTATACATAAATTCTCCACACTGATCTCCATACATTTCCTTAAAGAATTATCTGAGAGAATTTGATAAAAGATCAAAGCATTTTCCCTTAGATGATCATTTTATTTAATCTCATAACCTTTTCTCTTGATTTTGTACTGACATTGTTAGGAGAGAATTGGCGTTGGTCGCTCTACTTAATGGAGGTAGTTTCTAAGGAAACTGTGGCGTTGCCCACGTGGTTGAGGAGTGAAACATCAAAATTTAGTTTCGTCAAATCAATGGACCAAGTAAATCCACCTCGTTCCCAGGATCCTACTCGTCCCCTGGAGTGAGAGAGAATCGAGTAGGAAAGGACCCTGGGAACGAGGTTGCATGTGAATTTGCCATCGCAATCAATTTCCAAAGCTGGTATCTCGAGCACTAGCTATCCCTTCCATATTCAAATCTGTTGATAAAACGTAATTTTTCCTTTCCTATTTAGATACGGAAGATAGCATTGATGTTGATGTAGAAAAAGAAGCAAGAGTTGACGTGGATAATGTAAGAGATGTTAAGTCTGAAGAGGAAGAGAGGGCCAGCGAAGGTGCTGAAGAACAGATAGTCTCTGAGGTAGAACAAGATGATGACAGACGCTCCGATGAACAACGAGAAGAAGAGGTCGGAGACAGCGTTGAAATGCGGAGTGATGGTGCCATAGAAGAAGGCGAAACAGCGTTTGACGGAGAAGAGACAGCTGATGACAAGCATGAAGATTATAACATGGACATCAAAGCCGATGCTGAATGGGATCGCCAGAAAGACGAACCTGCAGCCCCTTCACAGCATCATGAAAGGTAACATACTTTCTAACAGTTTTTAGTCATTCATGTGTTTCGTCAAGCCATTCATCTAAACGACGTCGTTTCTCAAGTGTCCCAAGCCTGCTTGATTTATCGTTNTATGATTAGGAAGAATGTTGAATCTTACCTGCGTTTCACATCTCTTTCCTTTTCCATAGACTTCATCTTCTTAAAATTAACGGTGCCCTTAAAATAACAAGATAACATAAATACGAAGGTCTGGCTATCACCAGGGAAGTTGCCACGCGTTGTCACGCAAGAACGCACGCGAGAGGCAACTGTAACCGTAGACTGAGAAATAATATTTCCATCTCATGATAACTTCACATTAACCAGAACTCTATGAAAGTGACTCCGCGGTTTATCGTTTTTAAATTTATAACTACGTAAAGGCGAAGCCACACGATGCAAATTCGCTTAGAACTTTTGAAATCCCGATGGCCACGCGATATGATATCATGTGCAACTTCTTGCAAGCAATTTAAGGGACTGCAGCACCAATGTAATCAGAGTCCTTGCACAAGCTATTACGCAGCTGGACAAACGGTGCCGTGCGATACTGCATGGCGTGTCCGCGCCTTAACATCGATTTAGCAATCCTAGCTAATTCTGTCTTTTTTCTTTCCTTTCTTACCTGTGTGGGAGACATGAAAGGTTGATGTTCCTGTGCACGAAGCTCTTCCTGCTGGTTCCGCCATTCAGCTTGCTTTTCTGAACGCTTTTTGTTCATCCATTCCTTAAGATATTTTCTAGCATCTGGGCTGGGGTCCCTACTGAGGGAGGACAATTAAAGCATCATAAACCGGTCCTTGTTAACTTTAACCAAATACCTTGGCTGCCAAACAACAGACCACAGGGAGAATGGGTACAAGCCCTCGGTCCAACGATTTCTAGGATTGTTTGGGTAGACAAGCTTTAATAAACCTTTTTACCGATACGGCGGCCATATTGAATTTATTCGATTTAAGGAGTATTATAGGATGCCCAGGGGGCATGAGCACATTTCGTTTGTATTTTCGAGCTCTTTTCGGGACATTTTTTCTTAAAGTTTTCTTAGAATAAGATTGTAACGGGAAAAAAGATCTTTGTGCCGTGTTTGGATGTAATAATGACCGCCTTTTTTCTGAGAAATATACAGTGAACGATTATATTTCTAATACTAAACTAGAAGAAGGCGATCATTATTACATCCAAACACGGTACAAGGATCTTTTTTCCCATTACAATCTTATTCTAAGAAAACTTTAAGAAAAAATGTCCCGAAAAGCGCTCGAAAATACAAACGAAATGTGCTCATGCCCCCTGGGCATCCTATAATACTCCTTAAATCGAATAAATTCAATATGGCCGCCGTATCGGTAAAAAGGTTTATTAAAGCTTGTCTACCCAAACAATCCTAGAAATCGTTGGACCGAGGGCTTGTACCCATTCTCCCTGTGGTCTGTTGTTTGGCAGCCAAGGTATTTGGTTAAAGTTAACAAGGACCGGTTTATGATGCTTTAATTGTCCTCCCTCAGTAGGGACCCCAGCCCAGATGCTAGAAAATATCTTAAGGAATGGATGAACAAAAAGCGTTCAGAAAAGCAAGCTGAATGGCGGAACCAGCAGGAAGAGCTTCGTGCACAGGAACATCAACCTTTCATGTCTCCCACACAGGTAAGAAAGGAAAGAAAAAAGACAGAATTAGCTAGGATTGCTAAATCGATGTTAAGGCGCGGACACGCCATGCAGTATCGCACGGCACCGTTTGTCCAGCTGCGTAATAGCTTGTGCAAGGACTCTGATTACATTGGTGCTGCAGTCCCTTAAATTGCTTGCAAGAAGTTGCACATGATATCATATCGCGTGGCCATCGGGATTTCAAAAGTTCTAAGCGAATTTGCATCGTGTGGCTTCGCCTTTACGTAGTTATAAATTTAAAAACGATAAACCGCGGAGTCACTTTCATAGAGTTCTGGTTAATGTGAAGTTATCATGAGATGGAAATATTATTTCTCAGTCTACGGTTACAGTTGCCTCTCGCGTGCGTTCTTGCGTGACAACGCGTGGCAACTTCCCTGGTGATAGCCAGACCTTCGTATTTATGTTATCTTGTTATTTTAAGGGCACCGTTAATTTTAAGAAGATGAAGTCTATGGAAAAGGAAAGAGATGTGAAACGCAGGTAAGATTCAACATTCTTCCTAATCATACTGAGTGAATGAATGATGTGTCTTTAGTTACCTTACAAACGCCAATAAAGACGCGAGTCTGCCGTGCCAAATAAGGCAGTTATACAGTTCTGGGTTTAGAAACTAAAAAAGGTTTCATCTAACGTTAACTTAAACAGGAAAACGGAAGATCAACACAAACAGAAGAGAATAGAATCAGCGTCCAATCTTCTCGCGGAGATGCTGGCCGAGCCCGTTCCCAAGGCCAATGTTCGTAAGCCTAATCTCCGCTATGGGGGAAACATAACCTCGCTTTTTACAAAACCTCTCCCAGGGAAAAAGAAAAGAGCTGGCGAACGACACAAAACGTTACCTAAAAGTTCGCGAAAAGGTAAAGAGAAAACTGACCAACGAGGAGCCATTAATGAAACAGCACTTCAACAGTCTCGTTTTCCAGCGAAAGGTAACCATTCCGTTTACGATGGAACTTATCGTCCAGGCTCGTTATTTTCCGAGGATTTTCCGGATCGCGGTGCCGCAGAAATTTCAAACATCAGATCGCAAAGAACCCCTCGATACGACTTAATACGAACTAGCAGCCCGGTTGTTTCAGACGAACAAGATCTGGCCAGTTTAGTACCAGATAAAATTGACCGAAGCGATAAGTTATATGCGAAGAAAACTGCTCCGGACGACGACTATTGGCGTTCGAAATCTCCTACTGGCGCCGAGTTTGTCACGAAGCAAACATATCGGGACTTTGCTAAGAACCAGCCAAAACGATTGAAAGCGCGCGAAACTGCCTTGCGCAGGACTCCCCACGGGGGTATCAGCGCGCAAAGATTTTCGTCGCAGCCGAAGGGCGTTACAACTATGGGACGAACGTTCGCGAGGACACAACCAACTTACCCTCTCCTCCCTGGTAGTGAGACGTTAGCGGAAGTAGATCGGTTGTTAGAGGAGGATGTCGATGGTTTAGATGTAGAGAATCTTGAAGGAATAGAGAGCCTGTTGGAAGGAGATGAGGAACTAAAGGACTTGTTATCTGATGTGGACTGGCGAGGTATTAATAAGGTCAGTGTGTTAGTTGAATTTCCTATTCAGTTAACCTATAGTCGTGACGCCATACTACACTTTACTCTGTAATTTTACGGCAAATTCTGCGCAAGGGTAATTTATTTTCAGTACCAACTATAGGTCGAATAAAACACCCAAGCGCCCGGAAAATCGCATCCAGCGAGGAATCGCGACGCGCGCAAGGCGATTTTGTGTTCCCTCGCGTGCCTCGAAAGCACTTCTCTCTAAGACGGTAACAAACTACTCGCAGGCACTAGCGCGTGAGCACAAGATCGCGGACGAAGCGTCCGCCATATTGCTTTTGATATGTTTGCATGAGGTCTGGGTCAAAGTGACCTAAGATTGGTCCAAGGCCTTGTGCTTATGCTTGTGCTTATGTCGACTCCGTTTTCACCAGTCAAAGCTACGACGTAAGCACGAGCACAAGAAGAACGAACTTGTCCTTTTTTCTTGTGGTTGTGGTTATGCTTGTGGTTATGCTTATCAGCTAGTGAAAACCAGGCTTAAAGCACCAACAAAAGTCTAAACTTGAGTGATCGTGGTCGTCAGTACTTCCGAGTCAACTGGAAATGGTTGGCAATGATAGTTTAAATTTAGAAACGACTGAATATTTCGGGGCTATAGGGTGGCACCAGACACAAATTACACCCTCTTATCTATCAAAGCATTTGCATTAAATAGAAATCTTCTTTTCAATTAAAAGGCTCGTTTTTTCACTTTTAGCCTAGAAGAGTTGATTCCTCCGGGCTGACTGGTCAACGCTCTAAGCTGATTAATGGAAGAATTAAAGAAACGGAGAGAGAAGAAAGTAAGTTTTATTGTCCGATCACGCAAAAGAATACCTAACACTTCCTTCGTCTTACATCCTTACAGGCTTAAATTGCACCATCGTATCCTTACATTGCTTATTTATTACTTGGATTTTTATTTCAGTTGTATATTGGTACGTGTGCGCGCGCGCAATTTAATTTTGGGCGCGTGCATTATTTATTTATTTATTTTAGTTGCGTGTACATGTAGTTCGTTTAATAACGTCTTAGTTTTGCTTTGCGTTATTTTCCTCACTTATATGTGTTGTCCGCGACTGTGCTCACACGGTGGGTGGCTCCTCCTAAAATGTTCTGCAATTGGTATAGGATTTAATGGAGCCGAAACCAATTGTGGAATTGCACTCATTTTAGGCATCCTACTGATGAACAGTTGGGACACGTAGATATATTTTTAGCAACTACTATAATTTGCAGTCTGTCTACTTTGAATCCTTATATAACTTTATTTCACGTTAATTATTGCCTGAAAATATAATAAAGAGGACAATTACGCCTTGGTAAACTGTCATGTTTTGGTGCTTGCAGTTGATTGGCCATCAAACGCGAACAGAGATTATAGTCAACATGAAGCTGAGCCAGGAGTACCTTCAACCAGCGTTCTGTTGCGGGAGTTTGATCTTGACGTCAGTCCGTGGAGTAGTGGACAGAGTTTGCGCGCATCTGATGATGTTGCTCAGCTTCTGGTGAGTTATGGGATAGCAATTTCAGATGAAAGCTGTTGTGTACCAGTATTCCTCCGTTTGTTCGTCAATTTTTTTCTCTTCGACAAAAACTACTACTCTACTACTCATTTGAATGGTAACACTTTAGAATTTCTTCTACACGGTTAACAATTATGATCACCTTCAGTGTATATGCATAATAAACAGCGTAACAAGAAGCTTATGCTCAATATATAGCTTTCATTTGAATGGGCACATTTGAAGAATTCTTTGATCGATTCAGAAGTTACGACCACCCTTTGGAGGCCAATAAACAGTACTTCGACTTTGCATTTAACACTTTTGAGAACAAATCTAGCCACGTTCCTAAACATTCAATTCACTTGTATAGTCCTGTGGAATAAGCGAGCAATAAATCCCCGAAGATTTTATTTCCATACGCGCGCTCGACGATCTCTAAAGAGAAATTGACGGACTGTGAACAGGCTAGAATAGTGAACTCAGAAGTTTGATGGAGTACCCAATCATTTTCTTAGATTCTTTGTTGTTGTGTTTTATTTGAGGCTGATGTTGATGAGGCTGTAGGAAATATGTCTGAGAGCACAGGAAGTACCCGAAGCCAAATAGACTGGGAAGAGGTTAACAAAATCATGGGAGAAGCATAGTTATAGACAGAGCTAACAGCGAAAACAACGTTTAAATCAGCTAAGTCTTGATCCATCTGTGTGTTCCTTTGCCCGTGGAAGTTTTGCTAGTTTCTCAGTAATGCCATGGTTAGCTCATGGTTCTTGTATTATCCAGTGTGAAATGTACATTGGTATATACCGAAATTTGGCAAGCATCATGATTTGAATGGCATTTTCCATTTGCTTGGTTTTCTGTTGATATTTCACATACTTAATATTCAGCATATCGACAAAAACCTGAGGATCTCAAAATTGTAATAAAAGTAATATATCACGCAAATCTATAATTATCAGAAGCTTTTAAAGTTACCGGACATCAATCGTATTTATTGATAAATAATTGATTGATTTATGTGTTTGTCTGAAGTGGTCTGCGAATTTCCAAGACATGCATTACCTTACGTGGCTTCTCTTGGCCTCGGGAGAACATTATTTATGTTACTGTGTCTGTAAATAGGATAAATTTCACTCATCCGGGAACAAATATTTTCAAAATAAATGAATATAAATAAATTTACCATTTGTTTCTCTCTCTCTATATAAAATATTTTCGTCTTCTGAGGAAAAAACTACGCTATTTTTATTCACCAGGCCATTTCCGAGTTCCAAAAAACCCACACTTTCAGTACGAGGCTAAGTGCCAAACCTTTCTTGTGTAAATGAGTTGTATTTGTATGAGAATCAAAAATCTTTTTCATGTCAACAACTTCGCACTTCGCACCTCGCTTTGAAACAGAGGCTTGGGGGAACTCGGGAATGGCCTAATATTTTCTTATCTCTTGATGTATTTATTTCAAGAATTTTTTTAATACCACTGTAGATTATTTAGTAACACCTCAACCTGTGGCACAAAACAAGAGAAACGCGCCTTCAAGGTAAGATAACTTTGAGTACTACAGTCATTAGTTTTTGTTTCGTCACGCAACGCCCCTCCTCAAGCTGCGTGGGAGACTATTCAGTCATTAGTCTCCCACGCAGCCGTTTTTGTTTCATCACGCAACGCCCCTCCTCGATCTTTCCCCAATAGGACGCAGGGTATTTGTTTTTATTTATGGAGGAGTCCTTAAGCGGACGTTTGACTGTACTAGTCTCACGACTTTTTGTCGTTTTTATGGTCATTCAGCCCTTGAGGTCAGCAGCTAAATTCTCCTCACGATAACAATGCTTAATTTACCATAATAGTAATGAGGTTAAAAGAAATTATGTAGGTTAAATGTTGCCAACCAAAGAAAATGACGTCAAGATTGTAGCGTGTTGGTAAATGTTGTGGATTCGCTTACTTTTGGGATTCGCCCTCATCTTCCTTCCATGTTTTGTGTTTCCTTTTAGACAAAGACGAAGACAGGCTTTGGAGAAAGAAACCCGGCCTCGGTCAACGTCGCCATTGTACAAGAGCAGACGAGGAAGAGGAACTGGTCGCAAATTCGCACAGAGAGAAGTAATTACAGTTCAACCAGCAAAAAAATCGAGAAGAGTTGAAAGGGGAGTTTCTGAACAAGCTCGACCTGAAAAAGGACGTCAAAGTAAGAAGCCACGACAAAACAAGCCGCAAATAGTACAGGAAGTCGTTTATACGAAGGAGAAGGAAAAGAGTGTTAGCTTGAGCGAAAGTGAGTTGGAATTATCAGAAATTTCTGATCATGTGGTAGATATTTCCGAGAAAGAAGAGGAGTATTTTCGCGTTGAAAGAAGTCCGGACTCGAATGCTTTTAACGGCGACGACCGGAGGGGGCTTAGTAAAGGAGATGTGCACAGGCCAGCCAGTAAGAAAGGTCACCGTGCCGACCCCGTCAAAAACGGAAACTACAAGGAAACTATTAGAGAAAGAGTCCACAGGGAACCCATGCTCGAAGATGTACTACCTGGTCCACCCTCCATGCGGCATATAAAGGAGAGAATAGGACGAAAGCTACAAGAGGTCGACCAGCAGATGACTGAGTATCGGAGTGGGAGCAGCAGCTTTGGTAACAAATGGCGTGATGATTCTGGTAGGCAGTCGAGACACGAAGGTGCTCTGAAACAGAATATTGGTATTCAAGTGGGTGAGGAAAAGAAGCCATCGCCAGTCAATACTGTCGGATTCTATTCCTCAAATATCTCTGGCGTTGTCGGACCGGGAAGCACTTATAAAGTAAGTTCCAGTTCTCAGACTGATCAACCTCCGACCCGGTCACCTCCAGAGAGAAGAGACCGGAAACTAGTAACATTTGGTGTTCAAACGGAAAAACAATCTGATGATGTTGATCACGTGACATCCCACGCGCCAGTATTACCACCGGATATCATTTTAAAACTCCAAATGCCCAAGCCTGATCAGGACCGCATCCTTCCCCCTGATTCGCTGATAGATTATGACCAATCTGTTACTGACCGTCCTACCCCTGTACGGGGGAGGCTGATTGGAGTAGATATGAGTGACGAGACTGGTGGTGGCCCCCCTGTTAGTTCCACAGATGTTGACCAGGTGACCAGTAGTGTTCCAATAGATGTCAGGGGGAGGCAGTTCCTGAGTGTGGCTGATATTGACCATAATCAGTGGCTCGAGGTTCGAAGTGCGCCATTAACGACTGCAGATGAAGTAAGTCCTAAAGAAAAGGACGCAAAGGAGGAGGAACTGAACAGTAATGCTGGTCAAAAAACAGAGTTGTCTTCTAAACAAGGTAAATGTGCAAATTAAGATATGACATCTTTATTCTTTAAGTCAAACCTGTATTAAGCGGTCATCCTTGGGTAATGGCGTACTGACCGCTAATACAGGTTGACCGTTTCATACAGGTGTGACAAAGCGAAGGGTTATTCAAGAAAATGAAGCTGGTGACATAGCGAAATATCTATCCCATGCCTTTTTAGCCTCAAACTGTTTCTACCTCCACTTGTACCTAAAGAAAAATATTAGACGACCACTAAACGCCTTTCATAGTGTATCTGTTACACTAGTATGGTACATTTGTCAAAGTGACCGTTTAACAGAGATGAAGACAATAGAGGTCAGTTTTACAGTAATTAAGTGAAACTATTTCAAGGACTTTGGTAAGTGATCGCTTATTAGAGGCCTGCTTGATACAGGTTTTACTGTATGCTGAAGTGTAGTTACAGCGGAGTAACCGTTATGCTAGTGATTGGTTAAGACACTTTCTTATAACGTTCGTATTAGCTATACAACAAGTCTTATCCAGTGTCGAACAGTCAGAGAAGTAACTGTGTTTCACAAGAAAAGACGTGTGTCTTGTCTTTTTTCAGACCTTTTCAATAAAAAGTGCACAATGTTTCCACGTACACAGTAGGTAATATTTCTGAAAAGAAGTCAACTCTGGAAGAAACTGTGGCTCGTAAGAAAAGAAAACGTTTCTTAACAATAATATTGCCTCGAGTTACAACTGTCGGTGAAAGAATCCCTATGATATCCATATGATGCTATTGACTGGAAAGAGTTTTCCTTCTGTTTAGCTTCAGAAAGTTCAAGACATGATGACTCTGTTGAAGAAAAGGAAGATACAGAAGGCCAACAAGAAAACAAGAAGCAGTCCTTTGACGGTGCTGACCGAGTAACAGTAGACATGATGGACTCCATAGACAGCTCTTTTCAAAGGTAACTGGTCACCAAGTTTGCTCCAAAACAAACCAAAAATTTCAAATTTCCATTTTGTAAAATGCATAAAACCAACAAAAGGAAGTACCACGTGAAAGTATTGGCATAGAGGTTCCATTTGAATGGTCACAGCACATGGTTTCATCCTTTAATTAGAATCAAAACTCAGAACTACATGCTTAATAAATAATTCCACTTGAAAGCAGTAATGAAAAGGTTTCACCACGAGATCCCATCCGCAGACTCAAAACTTAGGACCATGTAAAAGTACTGCTGAAGTCGTTCCATTTGAATGGTCACACCACATGATTTCAACCGAAGACTAAAAAGTGAGATATGCGTCACAATTGACTTTCGGCGTCCCGCTCTTGTAGGCATATTTTTATATTTTTTTGTCACTGCGTGGTAAATGTTATCTCACTCTATATTACTGAGATGTGTTTCCCAATAAACCACACGTTGTTTTCCTTGCACCATGAGGCTGGTTTGGTGACGCTATCGCTTCTTATATTGGCCGTTACAAAGTGGTTGGATATTCGTCCCCCCAAACCGTCCCATAATACATTCAACACACTCCACTACCTCAAAAAAGCCAATAGAAAGAATGTTGCTTTTACAATTAAAAAATTGTTACTTGATTTTCAGGTTTTACCCACTTCCTTTCCCAGTTGCTCCCCAGTCCAGTGCGCGCGTTGTATCGACGCATGCGCTGAATGAAAGAATGAAAGAAATGAGCGAAAGGATAGAAGCAATGGATCAAATCACGTTGAACATGGACAGAGAATTTAAGAGTTCGCGCGTGGTAAGTACTACGCTGATTTAGCAACAGAACGGGAACGTCAGTTGACGACGGCGCGCGCAAATCAAACAACTGGCTTGACCAATGGCAGAGGGGCAAACTGGGCGCCGGAAGTCGAGTTTGGTCCTTTCCGCGCGCTTTTCCGTCGTCAAATGACGTCACCGGTCAGCTATTAACCAATTTTTTTTTCCTGACCTTAGTTATAGTCCCAGAAGTCTTTGCGAAAGTTAACTTGGCCTTGTCCCCTTTCCCTTTCCAAAGTGGTGAATCTGTTTGCAACTTTACGTACCAGAAACATTCTTTGTCGTTGTATAACCCGCGGCAGTTTTACAATGAAGACATCCCCTGTGATTTTTATTTTGATAATAACTGGTCTCGCTAAAGTTTCTTCCGCGGACAGAACTATAGATGGTAGCGAAGAGCTCCTTAAGAGTTTACATTTGATTGATCACACTCAGACAAAAACTCAGACTCGGCATATCTATGAATAACAAGGCACGAAAAAAATTATTCAGTCGCTTTCATTTTAATGACAGCAAGGATCATTTCAATAGAGTAAGAAATTGTACACCCGCTGAATGACTCATTATATGGGAAGAATATTTGTGCATAATAAGTTCTGCTTCTTTTTTTTCCAGCTTCTTTCAGCTATTCAAAGTATTGATGAAGTGCTAAACCCATCTCCAACGGAGGATGAATCCTTCCCAAGGTCCCGTCGAGGAACGCCCCAGAGATGGGGAGATACCCCACCGTGGAGAAGAGCCTCCAAAAGAATGCCTCAACAACTACAAAAATCTGAAGGTTGGTTATTTTACCATTGGTTACGCATATTATTGCTAATTCAGGAGTGCAGTTAGCAAGGCTTCGAATATATAAATTCTCCACACTGATCTCCAAACATTTCCTTAAAGAATTAGTTGAGAGAATTTGATAAAAGATCAATGCATTTTCCCTTAGTTAGATGATCATTTCATTTAATCTCATAACCTTTTCTCTTGATTTTGCACTGACATTGTTGGGAGAAAATTGATGTTGGTCGCTCTACTTAATGGAGGTAGTTTCTAAGGAAACTGTGGCGTTGCCCGCGTGGTTGAGGAGTGAAACATCAAAATTTAGTTTCGTCAAATCAATGGACCAAGTAAATCCACCTCGTTCCCAGGATCCTACTCGTCCCCTGGAGTGAGAGAGAATGGAGTAGGAAAGGACCCTGGGAACGAGGTTGCATGAGAATTTGCCATCGCAATCAATTTCCAAAGCTGGTATCTCGAGCACTAGCTATCCCTTCCATATTCAAATCTGTGGATAAAACGTAATTTTTCCTTTCCTATTTAGATACGGAAGATAGCGTTGATGTTGATGTAGAAAAAGAAGCGAGAGTTGACGTGGATAATGTACGAGATGTTAAGTCTGAACAGGAAGAGAAGGCCAGCGAAGGTACTGAAGAACAGATAGTTTCCGAGGTAGAAGAAGATGATGACAGTCGCTCCGATGAACAACAAAAAGAAGAAGTCGGAGACAGCGTTGAAATGCGGAGTGATGGTGCCATAGAAGAAGGCGAAACAGCCTTTGACGGAGAAGAGACAGCTGATGACAAGCATGAAGATTATAACATGGACATCAAAGCCGATGCTGAATGGGATCGCCAGAAAGACGAACTTGCAGCCCCTTCACAGCATCATGAAAGGTAACATACTTTCTAACAGTTTTTAGTCATTCATGTGTTTCGTCAAGCCATTCATCTAAACGACGTCGTTTCTCAAGTGTCCCAAGCCTGCTTGATTTATCGTTGTTTAACTACAAAAGCTCCTTTTTAGTTAACTTTCTTTCAACTTGTTAGTACGGTAAGTGTGATAAAGGTCTGCCTCACGGAAATTCCTAATATTTTAGTGATCTAGAACTAATTTTTTTCTTTTAAGACGTGTTTCCACCGTTTTCACTGATGTCAGCATTTTAGAAATAAGCGAGATTTTTAAACAAATAGAACTAAGTAGATTACTTATGATAACATGCCGTCAATACACCTATGCACACCTAGAAAATATTCTAATTTTGAAGTGGCATATTCTATTCCCTTGCAATGTTTTATTTATTTTTTTAATTCACTTATTTACTTTTTGTTTCCTTTCAGAGATGCAAAACCTCAGGTTTATGATCATTTAGATTCTCTTTCATTAACACCGGATAAGCTGAAGGACATACTCCGCGACAAAGACATAAAAAGAACTCGGTAGGTTAAATTTGTGACTTCTACACTGTAGATTTTAACAAGCGAACTCTCTTTACAGATGTTGAATACCTGCTTAGCAAAAGGATAAGAAATATGGGAGATACGAAGCAATGCGCGCCAGACAGGAAGAGGACTTCTGGGATTGTTTGGGTGGACAACCATTAGTTTTGATTGGTCAATGGTATCCAAAGACAACCATTGACCAATCACAATTAACGCTTGTCTACCCAAACAATCCTAGAAATCGTTGTCCCGAAGGCTTGTACCCATTCTCCCTCTGGTGTATGGAGTGGAGAATTGCCTCCTATTGTTTGGCAGGCGAGGCGTTTGTTAAAATTATCTAGGAACGTTTTATGATGCTTTAATTTTCTTCCCTCAGTAGGGACCCCAGCCCAGATGCTAGAAAATATCTTAAGGAATGGATGAACAAAAAACGTTCAGAAAAGCAAGCTGAATGGCGGAACCAGCAGGAAGAGCTTCGTGCACAGGAACATCAACCTTTCATGTCTCCCACACAGGTAAGAAAGGATCGAAAAAAAGACAGAATTAGCTAGGATTGTTAAATCGATGTTAAGGCGCGGACACGCCATGCAGTATCACACGGCACCGTTTGTCCCGCCGCGTAATAGCTTGTGCAGGGACTCTGATTAAATTGGTGCCGCAGTCCCTTAAATTGCTTGCAAGAAGTTGCACATGATATCATATCGCGTGGCCACCGGGATTTCAAAAGTTTTAAGCGAATATGCATAGTGTGACTTCGCCTTTACGTAGTTATAAATTTAAAAACGATCATGGAGTTTTGGTTAATGCGAAGTTATCATGAGGTGGAAATATTATTTCTCAGTCTACGGCTACAGTTGCCTCTCGCGTGCGTTCTTGCGTGACAACGCGTGGCTATCTTCCTTGTGATAGCCAGACCTTCGTATTTATGTTATCTTGTTATTTTAAGGGCACTGTTACTTATAAAAAGATGAAGTCCATGGAAAAGGAAAGAGATGTGAAACGCAGGTAAGATTCAACATTTTTCCTAATCATACCAAGTGAATGAATGATGTGTCGTTAGTTACCTTACAAACGCCAATAAAGGCGCAAGTCTGCCCTGCCAAATAAGGCAGTTATACAGTTCTGGGTTTAGAAACTAAAAAAGGTTTCGTCTAACGTTAACTTAAACAGGAAAACGGAAGATCAACACAAACAGAAGAGAATAGAATCAGCGTCCAATCTTCTCTCGGAGATGCTGGCCGAGCCCGTTCCCAAGGCCAATGTTCGTAAGCCTAATCTCCGCTATGGGGGAAACGTAACCTCGCTTTCTACAAAACCTCTCCCAGGGAAAAAGAAAAGAGCTGGCGAACGACACAAAACGTTACCTAAAAGTTCGCGTAAAGGTAAAGAGAAAATTGACCAACGAAGCGTTACAAATGAAACAGCTCTTCAACAGTCTCGTTTTCCAGCGAAAGGTAACCATTCCGTTTACGATGGAACTTATCGTCCAGACTCGTTATTTTCCGAGGATTTTCCGGATCGCGGTGCCGCAGAAATTACAAACATCAGATCGCAAAGAACCCCTCGATACGACTTAATACGAACTAGCAGCCCGGTCGTTTCAGACGAACAAGATCTTGCCAGTTTAGTACAAGATAAAACTGACCGAAACGATAGGTTATATGCGAAGAAGACTGCTCCGGACGACGACTATTGGCGTTCGAAATCTCCTACTGGCGCCGAGTTTGTTACGAAGCAAACATATCGGGACTTTGCTAAGAACCAGCCGAAACGATTGAAAGCGCGCGAAACTGCCTTGCGCAGGACTCCCCATGGGGGTATCAATGCGCAAAGATTTTCATCGCAGCCGAAGGGCGTTACAACTATGGGACGAACGTTTGCGAGGACACAACCAACTTACCCTCTCCTCCCTGGTAGTGAGACGTTAGCGGAAGTAGATCGGTTGTTAGAGGAGGATGTCGATGGTTTAGATGTAGAGAATCTCGAAGGAATAGAAAGCCTGTTGGAAGGAGATGAAGAATTGAAGGACTTGTTATCTGATGTTGACTGGCGAGGTATTAATAAGGTCAGTGTGTTAGTTGAATTTCCTATTCAGTTAACCTATAGTCGTGACGCCATACAACACTTTACTCTGTAATTTTACAGAAAATTCTGCGTAAGGGTAGTTTATTTCCAGTACTAACTTTTGGTCGAATAAAACACCCAAGCGCGCGGAAAATCGCATCCAGCGAGGAATCGCGACGCGCGCAAGGCGATTTTGTGTTCCCTCGCGTGCCTCGTAAGCACTTCTCTCTAAGACGGTAACAAACTACTCGCAGGCACTAGCGCGTGAGCATAAGCATAAGAACATACACACACGCAGAATGGCTCATTTGACTTAATTCATGATACCAGCTCTCCTCAACCCGATGATAAACAAGATGGCGGACGAAGCGTCCGCCATATTGCTTTTGATATGTTTGCATGAGGTCTGGGTCAAAGTGATCTATGATTGGTCCAAGGCCTTGTGCTTATGCTTATGCTTATGTCGACTCCGTTTTCACCAGTCAAAGCTACGACGTAAGCACGAGCACAAGAAGAACGAACTTGTCCGTTTTTCTTGTGCTTGTGCTTATCCCTATGCTTATCCGCTAGTGAAAACCAGGCTTGAAGCACCAACAAAAGTCTAAACCTTGAGTGATCGTGGTCGTCAGTACTTCCGAGTCAACTGGAAATGGTTGGCAATGATAGTTTAAATTTAGAAACGACTGAATATTTCGGGGCAAAAGGGCGGCACCAGACACAAATTACACCCTCTTATCTATCAAAGCATTTGCATTGAATAGAAATCTTCTTTTCAATTAAAAGGCTTGTTTTTTTTACTTTTAGCCTAGAAGAGTTGATTCCTCCGGGCTAACTGGTCAACGCTCTAAGCTGATTAATGGAAGAATTAAAGAAACGGAGAGAGAAGAAAGTAAGTTTTCCTGTCCGATCACGCAAAGAATACCTAACATTTCCTTCGTCTTACATCCTTATATAACTTTATTTCACAATAATTATTGCCTGAAAATATAATAAAGAACACAATTACGCCTTGTTAAACCGTCATGTTTTGGTGCTTGCAGTTGATTGGCCATCAAACGGGAACAGAGATTACAGTCGACATGAAGCTGAGCCAGGAGTACCTTCAACCAGCGTTCTGTTGCGGGAGTTTGATCTTGACGTCAGTCCGTGGAGTACTGGACAGAGTTTGCGCGCATCTGATGATGTTGCTCAGCTTCTGGTGAGTTATGGGATAGCAATTTCAGTTGAAAGCTGTTGCGCTCTACCAGTATTCCTCTGTTGGGTCGTCAATTTTTTTTTCTCTTCAACAAAAACTCTTGAATGGTATCACTTTAAAATTTCTTCTACATGGTTAAAAATTATGATCACCTTCAGTGTATATGCATAATAAACAGCGTAACAAGAAACTAATGCTCAATATATACAGCTTTCATTTAAATGGGCACATTTTAAGAATTCTTAAACCGATACAAAAGTTACGACCACCCTGTAAAGGCTAATAAACAGCACTTCGACACTACATTCAATAGTTTTCACAACAAATCTAGCCACGTTCCTAAACATTCAATAGACTTTTATAGTCATGTGGAATGAGTGGTCAACAAATCCCCCGCGGTTTTTACTTCCATACGCGCGCTCGACGATCTCTAAAGAGAAAATAGACGGATTGTGAACAGGCTAGAATAATGAACTCAGAAGTTTGATGTAGCACCCAATCATTTTCTTAGATTCTTTGTTGTTGTGTTTTATTTGAGGCTGATGTTGATGAGGCTGTAGGAAATATGTCTGAGAGCACAGGAAGTACCCGAAGTCACATAGACTGGGAAGAAGTTAACAAAATCATGGGAGAAGCATAGTTATAGACAGAGCTAACAGCGAAAACAACGTTTAAATCAGCTAAGTCTTGATCCATCTGTGTGTTCCTTTGCCCGTGGAAGTTTTACTAGTTTCTCAGTAATGCCATGGTTCTTGTATTATCCAGTGTAGGATGTACATTGGTATATACCGAAATTTAGCAAGCATCATGATTTGGATGACATTTTCCCTTTGCTTGGTCTTCTGTTGATATTTCACATACTTAATATTCAGCATATCGACAAAAGCTGAGGATCTCAAAATTGTAAAAAAAAGTAATATATCACGCAAATCTATAATTATCAGAAGCTTTAAAGTTACCGGACATCAATCGTATTTATTGATAAATAATTGATTGATTTATGTGTTTGTCTGAAGTGGTCTGCGAATTTCCAAGACATGCATTACCTTACGTGGCTTCTCTTGGTCTCGGGAGAACATTATTTATGTTACTGTGTCTGTAAATAGGTTAAATTTCACTCATCCGGAAACAAATATTTTCAAAATAAATGAATATAAATAAATTTACCATTTGTTTCTCTCTCTATATATAAAATATTTTCGTCTCCTGAGGAAAAAAACTACGCCATTTTTATTCACCAGGCCATTTTCGAGTTCCAAAAAACCCTCACTTTCAGTACGAGGCTAAGTGCCAAACCTTTCTTGTGTTAATGAGTTGTATTTGCATGAGAATCAAAAATCTTTTTCATGTCAACAACTTCGCACTTCGCACTTCGCACCTCGCTTTGAAACAGAGGCTTGGGGGAACTCGGGAATGGCCTAATATTTTCTTATCTCTTGATGTATTTATTTCAAGAATTTTTTTAATACCACTGTAGATTATTTAGTAACACCNTTACCGGACATCAATCGTATTTATTGATAAATAATTGATTGATTTATGTGTTTGTCTGAAGTGGTCTGCGAATTTCCAAGACATGCATTACCTTACGTGGCTTCTCTTGGTCTCGGGAGAACATTATTTATGTTACTGTGTCTGTAAATAGGTTAAATTTCACTCATCCGGAAACAAATATTTTCAAAATAAATGAATATAAATAAATTTACCATTTGTTTCTCTCTCTATATATAAAATATTTTCGTCTCCTGAGGAAAAAAACTACGCCATTTTTATTCACCAGGCCATTTTCGAGTTCCAAAAAACCCTCACTTTCAGTACGAGGCTAAGTGCCAAACCTTTCTTGTGTTAATGAGTTGTATTTGCATGAGAATCAAAAATCTTTTTCATGTCAACAACTTCGCACTTCGCACTTCGCACCTCGCTTTGAAACAGAGGCTTGGGGGAACTCGGGAATGGCCTAATATTTTCTTATCTCTTGATGTATTTATTTCAAGAATTTTTTTAATACCACTGTAGATTATTTAGTAACACCGCTTTTCCTAGAGACGCACCCCATTCAATGGTTACCTCATCTTTTATACTTTTTCTTGTTTCCTTGTTAATGGCTCTGTCATGTTCATTATGCTTTGCTCGAAAGATTAGCTACATTATCATTTTAAAAATAATCGTTAGCAAGAAAGTTTTCTCAGGTCAGCATTGAAGTTATTGACTAATTTATATATTTTTAAAGGATACATTTATTTCTTATTTTCAAGATTTGATGTTTTTGTAGTTTACGGAGATCGCGTACAAGCACAATCGACATCGACCTCAATCGTTTTGCTCTTCCAGTCGCCTTGAACCTTGCCGAACAATTTGTAATGACGTTTTATCTTCTGACATTCTCCTTGACCGTTAAAACAGATGGCAACATTGCATTTGACTGGCCAAACCTTTAATCCTGCAACCCCATGTAGGTTATACCTTTCCGCTGTTGTTTCTGTAGAGCATCCCCCGCATGGGTTACTGCAATGTCTCTTCTCTAATCGTACAGTCGCTGGTGAGGCGTGATCCTGTGGCTGGGTCGAATTTGACATACGAATCACGCTAAAAAGAAGGACAGAAAAATTTGATTTGTATATCTTTAACTGAAGAAATTCGCTCTCGCTCATTGGTCGAAAGCTATTTTTCTTGTAAACTGCAAGGAATCCGAGGTTTCTCTGATGTTGAAGGAAATTTCGGTTGATGATCGTTAAGCTTACCTTACATTGGGAAGGTCCAAAATACCAATATCTCGTAGCCCTTTAACAACGTCTTCAAACGAAAGTGATTTGGTGTGATTAAACGCTTCCTCGTCCTTGTAAGTTTTCGGGAGGTAATATATGTTATCTGTCAGGTCGAGATTTCTTGCATGCTGCCGACGATTGCCGAACTTCCAAGTCTTGTGTGGCCGAAATAAGTTGGTCTTAGCAGTTATAGGCCATAACATCACGAGAAAGAATATAGCATTTGTAGGCATGATGAACACACTGAAATTAAGTCAAAATTTTCAGTTAAAACAGTAGTGTAGTTTTGACGTTATTTTTTTTAGATAAGAATCGGCGTCGTGTTCAGTGGTGCGGGATTGTTCTGGACTGACCCGAAACTGAGTTTTTAATCATTTAGGGCCTGTTCATTAGGAGAGAGGGTTACCCTTGTGCTAGGGTTACCCTAGCAAGCGGGTTAAAGTTAGCTCTGGTTTACAAGCAAATTTCACAGGTAGGGTAACCCTATCACCTGGGTCAACTTTACCAGCTTTACTGACGTGTTTCGTCATGCGTAACATTATTTGTAACGATCCAAAATTTGAAAGAATCTTGAAGTTCTCTATGGAAAACACGTTAAATTCAAGAAAAAAGGGAAAATGTTATCATCGTACACAGAAAATGACTTTTTATTTATCGCTAGATGAGCCTTTCCAAGGCAGGTAGGGTAACCCTCTTGCTAAGGTAACCCTAGTACTCAGGTAGGGTTACCCTAGTGCGAGGTAACCCTACCTGCCTTGTAAACACGTCGTGTTAAAAAAGAAGAAATATGCCAGTGTTAGGGTAACCCTCTTGTTAGGGAAACTCTAGCACCACGATTACCCTCCCTCTTTGTAAACACCGTCCTATAAGTTGTGCCAACATGTCGACACCCTTGTGCCGGGGACTTTGAAACTGTTTATCATAGCCTCAGAAATTGTTTTACTTCGTCGTTTTGTTTGTCTTGTTTACGTGTATGTTGTTGCTATTGAAAGATATTATTTATCTAATAAATTGGTGGTGCGTCAGTAGGGGAACGAAGAAAAAGAAAAATATTTGATCAGCTTAGTTACTAACGTTTGAACCAAGTCCTTGTCCACGCCGTAGCTCAAGGTTTTAAAGGCAACTTTTCGTTGAACATCAGTCACTAAAAACCAAACCCATTCAAAAGTTAGATCCCCCAGGGCAGCCTGACAAAAAGCACCACTTTAATTCAATTAAATGGTCAATTTAATTAAAATTTTAATTTGAATGATCAATACAGTCCCAGTCGCAAACTGTGGGTCAAAATCAATCAGTCTGACAAATGCACCATTTGAACTGAAGCCGCAAATTCCTCTATCCAGTTGCTGTTGTGGCGGCATTGGAGTCCAACGTATGGGTATACGTCTTGAAGCTACAACAACTAGAAAATGAGGATCACTATCGAATTTTTCGCTTCTCTGCCCTCTGTCTTCAAAGCCCAGCATGTGGCTTAAGGAATACTGTTTCTTTACCTTTTATGAATTAAACTATAAACCATAAAAACGTCAAAGGAATAACCTCACCTTTTACCCGAATGAAAGGTTTAAAGGCCTCTTGATAGCGCATGAAGCCGTTTCATTTTGTTGAGCATTTTTCGTTCATTCGTACTTTGTAAACCTCTTGACACTTAATGATAAGTTAATAGGTAACGTGGCTCTCAGTGCCACCTGTATCGACTTGCCGGTGTTTTGCGAATGAAAAATAAAACAAGGTATCTTTTAATTTCACGGTTGTCACTTAAGACAAATTTTCAACACTTTTTATCAATAACATAATTTCAAAAAGTTTAAAGTTACGTTTTCTATCATTGTAAATAAGGGCACCAAATTAGGGCGTATTTTTTTCAGGTTCTACTCCAATGAAGCTGCCTCAGAAAGTCTCTCAACGAATATTTTTCTCAAACCCACGAGACTGGCGGGGTACTAAGAAGCCGGCGGTTAAAAAAGATTAATGACAATCGACAAATGAGTCAGACGAAGTAGTAACCCGCTGAATTAGTCCAAATATTTCACAAACAAACATTGTCTGTAGGCAGGATGAGCCAATTTCGAGCAACTTATCTCCAAATTAAATAACCAAACATCACAAAACTTCCCCGTAATTGGATAAAAGGTGTTTCAAAGCAATACAAATATTAAAGCGACAAAGGTACTATGGGAATAAAGGACGGGATTGCAAATGATTGGAAGTGTTTATTTAGTTTGCGACAAGCAGATTCGAGAAAAATATATTACCTATTACCGTGCTATGAAATTTTGAGTTAAAGAGAGGATACAGAGGTATGGCTTTGCCGAGGGGCACTAGGGACGTGATTAGAAAGCGCCTTCGTCGCTTCAATGTTAGCGGTAAAGTGGGCCTACTTTGAAGAGATTACGTTGGATGAAGCAAAAATGGATTAGAACAAATAAATATATATATTTTTTAAGATGGAGACACCTTGTTGTATCAGCTTATCAGTGTCCTCCTACGAGTTTCCTAGGTCGTCGTCACGTGTTCATTCCCATAAAGCCTTAATAACGTCCGCGTGGGAGGTGTGCTCCTTAGCTAACAAAGTATATTAAAGACTGAATGATTGATTGGTTAGTTGATTGAACGTTTATCATTGACTCGTGGCTTTTCCGCCTACAGTCCGCCACAGGTAAAAATTGCCAGTTTATTTATTTATTTATTTATTTATTTATTTATTTATTTATTTATTTATTTATTATCATGATTATTTCACATCAAATTTTTTTTTATATTACTTTAAAGGAACATCCCTTACCCCGATAATATCAAACAAAGACTTAAATCTCCACGCAGAAGACTGATAAAATTTATCCCAGCTAATCCGGCTGATATATTAATCCTGGGGATATTAATTTTATCCGCTCCATGATCCCCGGTGTTATTCTTGCAAATCATGCAAGGAAAAACACCGTTAAATTGACATGTTTTCAATCACTTTCTAGTTCCTAACAGCATAAATTAAAAACATTATATCATGAACAATACTCTATGAGAAGACATGGGAGAAAAAACTCAACTTTTTAGTTATATGTCGAGGTAGCCATATTCTCATTATTTTGCCATGTCTGTCAAGTGGGCCATGGCTTTCGTCCAGGCCTCAGACAAGCGTCAAAACAGTGGCGTAAAGTTACTCGGTCAATTTCCATACAGTCGGAAGCTTGATGTTACAAGACCTTGAGAGTATTAAACTCCTAGGTGAAGAATGGACATGTGAATGTTTTTTGGACTTAAAAAGGGGGGGCTGACGACTTGCGCAATCTCCTGCCAAAAAAAGTAATTTTAAAATGCTTCTTTTTTATTCACAGTATCCTACTCACGAACCTAGTGTTTATCAAATTGTTTCTCTTGAAATAGAAAGTGACCACACACGTTTTACATTAACACTTTTTTTTATCTGAGCTTTATAACCAGCACAAGCTGGGTGTCCGTGAGATCAGATGGGACTTTGTGGCTTTCACGTTTTTTAAATTTTATGTTTCGGATACGATTTGTCATGATTTTTTAAATAAAAAATGAAAGTAGTATTTGCAACTTCCTCCTATAACCAGGTTTGTTTTATGGACAATGTTCACAAGATCGACAGCCATGAACTGTATTTATTTATTCATTCGTTCATTCAATTTTTGATGATTGATTACGTGTTACGGGAAGGTTAAGTAATGTGTAAAAAAAGGTGGAAAAAAAGTAAATATGACTTGGTTGCAGATCAGTCTAGGAGGTACTCTAGAACCGACAAAGCTGTAAAACTGACCAAACTGCCGCTCCAACAACCCTTACAAAAAAAAAACACATGTTTTTCTTAGCGCGGGCAATACGGAAACTACATAGGGCGATATAAAAGATTCCGACCTCGTTAGTCACAACTACGCAGGCTGTTTTTATTGGTGCCTTTAGGTTTGTTTTCGTTTCGTTGTGGTGTGATTTTGTGGAAAACTATTTATGAAATAGTCTGCTCGTGACTAATTCTGTTTTTCCAAGCTCATCCTGTTACGCTTTTTGTTTCGGTAAGTGAAGAAATAGGCGAAATACGAGTAAAGATAAGATAGAGTCTGTATGTACATATGTCAAGCTGTTAGTCGAGCTGACGGCCGGCTGACGTAATTTAAAATTTAAATTGTCGCGCAGTTTTATTGGTACAACAACAGGATCATCACGGGTTTTCGTTTTAGCGAAGGAGCCACCGACTTTCCAAGGCGACGTTAGAGTTTGCTATTTTTCGTGGCAGATGGATGCGAAAGTTTGGTTTTGCAACACTTTTATCACGCCCTTTTTACAACTATCAGTCTTGTCATTTTCCACATGGGTCGTAATTTTCATGTCAATATTTCTCGCGAAGCTTGCACACTTCCTACTGACAAGTTTTGCAATGATGCGGCAATCTTACAGCTCTGTTAAGAATTTTGATGGACCTCCGAGTCACTGGCTTAAAGGGCACACTGATCGGGTAAGTAATAGTCAAACCCTTACACTTTTTTCAAGAAAAAGCGTGATCAATATCCGGTTAGCGGGACAAGAGAATGTGTCAAATTTAAATCGGGAGAAGCCGATCAGTTCGAACCGTCGGATATGTCAGAAGTGAACTACTTTTCTGATCACGCTTGAAAATTTACATTGAGTGACTTGGTGATGTTTTGAGCGAAAACAAGCGTTAAGTTTTAGAAAACATATTAAGCTATTTGTAATGTCAGATAAGATTGTTCGTCCAAAAGCTTTCAAATATCTATTCAAACGGCGCCCTTGTATATTAATTGATTGTACAATTTTTGGCAGATGTTATAACTAATATATTTCTGAAAAGCGATTGGAGCTAAATATGTTTTCCAGGGTACAAATCTTCTATCTACGGCCATTAACAATTGATAACTTAGAGAAAACATGGGCGTCAGTTGATTCAGTTTCATCCAACGTTAGCATGCGCATTCTTAACGAAAATATTTTGTATATCCAGGTTTATATATTCAATACTTAAAACATAATAGATATTGAAAGGTCAACAAAAATATCTAAGGCCTTGAAAACTCGAATATAACCGTGACCTCGGAGACAAACAGAGTGCGTTCGCTGTTTTGAAAAAATAAAGTAATCCCTTTGCAAAGCAAACAAATGTGATATGCTTATGCTAATTTAAGGTGACTCGACCCAGTTTTTTTGGGGGGGTACCATCCTACTTTGAAGCTCTCTGGTATCCCCACCTTTACTTTTA